CGATTTTTGTTGTCAAAATGTTTTGTAATAAAGCAAACAAACCTGCTGTGTAACCACCCATAGCTAACCTTAGGTTTAACTCCTGCTTATTCATGGAAATTTTAGGTTTAACTACATATACTTCATAATTTTTGCAACAAATGCTTCTTAGGTTGTTCAACACATACTTCTTAGATTGTGCAGCATATACTTCTTAAGCTGGGCAACATTTATTTTTAGGTTGTGCAACATATATTTCTTAGATTGTGCGACATATATTTCTTAGGTTGTCCAGCATGTACTTCTTAGGTTGTGCAACATATAGTTCTTAGTTTGTGCGGAGTATACTTCTTAGGTTGTTCATCATACACTTCCTAGTTTGTGCAAAGTAGATTTCTAGGTTGTGCAACATATACTTCTTAGGTTGTGAAATATACTTCTTAGATTGTGGCACATACTGTATAACTTCTCAGGTTATGAGACATACTTCTTATGCTATGCAACATATACTTCTTAGGTTGTGCAACATATACTTATCATGTTGTCCAGCATATACTGCTTAGGTTGTGCAAATTATACTTCTTAGGTTGTGCAACATATATTTCCCAGGTTTTGCAACATATATTTCTTTGATTGTGCAACACATACTTCTCAGGTTGTGCAACATATATACCTCTTTAATTGTCCACTATATACTTCTCAGGTTGTGCAACATATACTCCATAGGTTGTGCAACGTATACTTCTTACGTTATGCAACATATACTTCTTAGATTGTGCAAAGTATGCTTCTTAGATTGTGCAACATATACTTCTTAGATTGCACAACGTATACTTCTAATCTTGGCCCGTAACATTTTATATTCTTTAAAGTCCCCATGTGAAGTTTGAAAATATGTTTTATCATTCATTTTACTATTTGTCATGACTTTAAAAGTTATTTTAGAGATTTATGAAAAAATTGTTAGTTTTTCATATTTCAAATATTTTACGCCATTTTTCAATTAAAAGTTGAAATATTTTATTCATCAAATACTCCACTAAACAGTGCAAAACATTATCTTTTAAACACCAATGCAAAGATTGAACAAAGGACACACTATTTCAAAAACAAAATGTGCCAATTCAATGTTTTAGCACATCAAAAATTTTGCAACCTAAGTGACCTCATCATGGCATCATCACAGACACTCAGATGGCAAAACTTTTCTGAAAAACTGAAATTTTTTTTTCGATATCTGTCTTTTCTATATGTCCTAAACTTTAAAAATAGACCAATGATTTATTGAGTATATCATTTTCGAACAAAAAGTCCTTAAAAAACACCTTTTGAAATGAAAAAGATGAGTTTCTCATATCCCACTTTGATAACACTGCATAAGACTACAATATAAGCCAAAAGTGATTTAAATTTATATGGGGGCTTTAAACCTTGGTGCCACTTTCATGTGGAGTATGTTCGTGAATCAGGCATTGTTACATTTCTGCGTCTAAACAACACTTAAATATTATCCCATCGTATCTAATAAAGTACACAATCCGTATCATGTTTTCAGATATATCAAACAGTTAAGAAAATAAATCAACATTTGTGCCTGCGTTATTACAGGGACAGGTTGTATTAATAATGATTAAACGACAGTTTTGAATAGACTACTACATTGTATATTGAAACATGACGACTCGGTAAACAACCTTGTGTATGGATCCACCGGCTGATAAATGTGACTTTAAGGTTTCGTCACATAGAAGATGTCGCAACGGGTGAAACAGTGTGCACTTCACAGGTCCACGAATGTGCTATTAAGATATAGATTCTGACGACGGAGACGACGCGAATGCAATTAGACGAGACACTCAATGCAATCGTTTTTCCACATTTTTCTATTGGATTTATGAAGAAGTAAAAGAAGTGAATTATCGACGGGATATTCCAGTTTAAGAACTCATTAATTCTGTAGCAAATTAGAATGAACTTATTCATTGAGCAATAGATTTTTTAGAAAGGATATTGGAAGACATTTTAGTACAGTAATTCAAAAGTACTTTAAATGCACATAGGTTGCTTGGACTTGAGAGAGTCTTCATGCGGACGAGGCTCGTGTATTAAATGCACAAGTACGATCAGTAAATTCAGTTAAAACAGTTATTGGAAAATCGCTCATCGTGTTGTTGTTAAAACGACTGCACTGTTGTATATTGAATTAATATGACCTGTAATTAAATACCATAGGCTTAGAACTCCGCCGTATGTCTGCATTCAATAAATTAGCAATTGCTGAAGGATAAATATGATATACATCGCCACATAGGATATGACCTTAATTAAGCTCATATGGAGCATGATATCGGATTTGAGATCTTCACAAAACGTGCTTCCTTTGATATGTATTAAATGAGAATTACTGACACTTTATTTGACTCATATTTTTATTGCATATAAGTCAATATACAGAAAGGTTGCAGCGTCGATGTAAAACACTTCCTAATAAACACACGTCGTGGGATGTTTTGTATACGGAGAGGGACACTTCAACATGATCCAAAGTGTGCAATAGTGGCTATTTAAACTACCCAAGAAAGTTAAATTAACAATTGTATTCAAATATGGGGAATAACTGTGCAGGAAAATCCGCTGACGCTAAACCGGATGACAACGTGCCATATAAACCAACTGATGGCACTGTACCGGCTGAGGCTGTGGCAAATGGAGTAGAAGGTGCCCACAGAAACATTGCGGATAGAAAACCGACACAACCGGAGGAATATTATGCCAGGCATGCAAGTGGGAGAGTTAACGATTCGAAGCCATTGACCGATGATGGCATTGTTAGTTATAAACCAGTCGATGGTAAGATCTCATTGCGCAATGTTAAACGACGTGATCTAATGGTTAACACTAGTCATATCAATAAAATGATGGGTATGCGGCATCAAATGTTCAATATAATTGGCTGGAACGTGATATTTAGGAGCTTTCGGATTGCAAGTATCGACGATTAATCTTTAAATGGCACTTTTTATGTAGAGAGTGCTTTACAATCGATTTTTCATATTTCTTTGGCCGTATCACCAACGATTTAACGGAAATCATCCCGAGAACCTAGTCTTCAATCACTTTATACCATAAATCACAGATCACTCTGAGTATAAATCATTCAAGGTATAAGAAGAAAACTGTAATTCAGCTTGAAGATAATCACTTACATGTGTAGATGGCATTTACGTTATGTTCAACACAACTTTCAATTACATCGGCGGGTCTATGGTAAAACGTAATTCGCGATCTTCTCTAGATGTTTTTTTCAATCGATTTTAATATTGAAAGCAATATAAACTATAGCCATACTCGTTGTTTAATGGGACGTATATCGATTTAAATAACAATTCATTCACGGAGCTCCTTCTGTCTGTTTATAGAAGTATTGGTGTCATGCGGTCATTTACAAAAAAACTAAAAATATATTGAAAAGGCCTGTATAATAACAGCTAAAGATCAAAAGTCATTAGCATTCTGATGACAACAACTGTTAATTAGGTATGCATTCACTCACGATTGTTGTTAAGTAATTGATCGTATAAAGGGATGTGATTGATACATGTACATAGTAAATGAATGCTTTACCAAATGAATGATAATATGGGAGTTTATGGAGGCAGAGGTGGGCCTATTGATTCATATGAGAGGGTCGAGAGAGGAAATATACTAATTTAAATAGTTTGGTCATCCTTTCAAAGGACATGATTCTCAATTGTTTACAATGATTAAATTATAAGTAGGGCATGTACATGTATAATCATTAATAACGCCAATTTTCTAATCTTCTATGGATATGTTTAAAAGGTGTAAAATCTTCTTCTGGTTCAAGAAAATTATTGTCAGAGATTTAAGGATGTTTTGCACATTTACAGCATCGGTTTGTTTATTCCCATATAAATTGCTTTTCCCAGTCATTTTCCGATACTCCGGCCTAAATTACTAAAATATGATGAATGTAACATGTACTCGTAGTATGATGCCATATAATTACATGCTACTTCACGGATACATTCGTTCTTGGTAGCATCTTACAGCACCCATGTGTTCTTGGTAAATATATTGATGTGATTACATGGGCTGTAAAAGTGATGCCCACTCCCTTTTTATGTTTGCTTGTACTCATAACTACGTCTAGACGCTAGTTAGAGACTGTTGTGACCTCATCACTGCATCATTGCAAACGCTTGCTGAAGGATGTATTAAAAACTGTATGTTGTTTGTGTACGTTCTCAGTGATATTTATTACATACAAACCGTACATGCCGGTTGGTATTTAGAATGATATCCATGAGCAGTTAGCAGCAAGACCTGTTGCATAGCTCGACATTAATCATTTTGATAACCCAACCTCTATTATAAAAAAACAACTGGGGAAACATAGAACATAATATGCGATGATGTGAAATTGATGATGTCAAATGATTCCAGGGTCTAAATGTGCCAGGAGAGCAATTTGATAAATAATTACGACATATAATTACGACATATAATTAATACCGATAATTATTATTACCCTATCATGTAAATTCGATTGGAAGAGCTGTCTGACAACTTGCTTATACGATGTCGGGAATATATAGATAACATTTTGGAACCATGTGTGAATGGGATGACACGTATTTAGCCCGTTCGACCACCAACGTTAGGTCACATGTCAAATCTAAAATATTTTTTTTATTATGTCTAATGTCAAAATGTAAAACATAAGTCAACGGTTTATTGGTGATGGAAAGGGGGCTCCATGAATGTTGATTAGATATATACGTACGCCATCTATTTTCATTTAAAAACACTCCCACAATGATTCTTGATGTAACCTCGTAAATTATCTAAAAATATAAAAAAGTCGCATCGCATTATAATTTGAATGTGACAGTATATGTGAATCATGCAATCTATATCCAGGATCAATAGTTGAATAAACAATATATGAAAATTACAACTAATAGTGATAATAATTATTGTGATTTTGTGAATTTCAGACATTCCCGAAGCGGACAAGGAAGTCTTAAGAGTACAGAAAGTCAACTTTAACATTGCTGAAAATGTCAAAGCACATCATACCGACAAGTTTGAGATCACGGATGTCATGAAAGGAGATAAATACATGAAATCCCAGTTGGTTGTCAGGAGAGGGCAATCCTTTGATATCGAGGTCGAGTTCGATAGGGAATTTTCGAAAGAGAAAGACGACCTTAATTTGATATTTGAAATAGGTAAGGAAGCTTTCGGTTTATGTTTGTGGCGCATGCCTATCACTTGAACATCTGCATTCTGCAATTTAGTATTGCATATAAATCATGTTGAAATCTATATTAAACTAAATTTGACAAACTTTACAACCCGCCTCCAGTCGATGTTTTATTTATATACGTGATTTCATGACAGGTAAAAGACCTCTAGTGAGCAAAGGTACATCCATCACCCTAACCCTCTCCGACGCGGACAAGCCAAAACAATGGGGCGCTAAAGTGAAATCTAAGAAGGACAAAGAGATTGTAATGACTATCTTCACCCCACCTGATATCCCTATTGGAAAATGGCAATTCAAGATTGATTCCATATTCAAAGACTCCGACAGCAAGAAGAAGTATCGTTACACACATGAAGATCCAATATACATGCTCTTCAACCCTTGGTGCCCGGGTGAGTATGTCCCAGTATGTCATCCCAACACTCAGTCTTTTGACTTGGCGTTTGATGACGATGTAAATGATTTTCTCCTTTTAATTATGACCGTTTCAGCAACTGATATAATCATTGAACAGGGCTTGATATTTCTTGGTAGTTCAATATGTCTTAAAAAGTCATTCTCTCCATTAGTCATTTTGAAGTCCAAGTTGTGAGATAATGAGATGTGTTTCCAAACACTTTTTGACTACAAAGAACGACAAGGCAACTACTGAATTTAAAGAATTTTTCAACAAAGTGGCTTTTACTTCATAATGTTTACTAGTTCACACTAGTTATATTTTAAATACTGCAGTTATGTACCAAACATAAAATCACATACAGTATAACATGCACACAAACAAGTGATGGTTTACGACATCATGTCATAAAATTAGACCAATGTCGTAATTATGACACTCTATTGATAAGTGTACTATTCCAGATGACCTCGTGTTCCTTGATGACGAAAATCTACGCAGAGAATATGTGCTCAACGATTCTGGTAAGATCTATTCTGGGACAGCAAAGAACATACGACCAAAACCATGGAATTTTGGACAAGTGAGTACACCAAGTTTCGTATAAATCAAACAGACACGTCTGCATCTGTTCCGTCGTCGTAAATACACCCATGATTTCCCATCTTGTATGAGGTCAAGAAGCCTAATTTGTTAATAGAATAGTATGATAATACTATGATAATATTAATTGTTTTACACATGTCCTAGTTTGTTGCAAAGTTTCTTTAAAAGCTCAGAGCTATTTAAGCTTCTTTGCAATGGGTGTTAGGTAGGAGAATCTAATACCATAATTATGTTGACGTAGAATTGCCAGACTGACTTTTTGAGGCTGATAGATACCCTTAATTGGAAGTTTGAAATATAATTTGTATGAACTAATTATTTTCAATTTTGTGTTTAGTTCGAAGATTTCATGCTGGACTGTTGTTTCCATCTTTTGGAACAGTCTGGTTTGAGTTATAAAGTGATGGGAAATCCAGTGAACGTTTCAAGGAAAATTTCTGCAATGGTAAGCTTTTATTTGGATTGTATTCTTTATTTCTTGAAACATTGAAGAATGCATCTAATTAAATATATGGTAACATTATCACTGACATCTATCAGTTTTCTTCCCGTTGATATATTTTGGTAATTATATTTTAAGCATTTTTACACTGACCTCTTAAAAGAAAAAAGTGCTGGTTGGTGTCTGTGCAACTGTTTATTTAAGAAAGGTCTATATATTTGTGTTTAACGAACCATGCAATTATTTCAGACCAATGCCCCGGATGATGGAGGTGTGTTGGTTGGGAATTGGTCAGGTAAATACGCGGGAGGTACTTCCCCATTAGCCTGGAGTGGTTCAGTGAGAATCCTCGAGGAGTATTGGAGGACGTTGCAACCAGTTAAATACGGACAATGTTGGGTGTTTTCCGGTGTTGTGACTTCAAGTAGGTGTTACATTCTAGTAAATTAAAATAAAAAAACAATTTAGGCAGCAACAATAGACAATCTAAACAATATATTTTATGGTGAAACAGAATGTCATATTATCCTATCATTTGTAATATTTTTACAGTCGCTAGATGTTTGGGGATACCTGCCCGAAGTGTTACTAACTTCTCCTCTGCCCATGACACCGATGGTAGCATCACCATTGACAACCATTGGGGTACAGATGGCAAACCACTAGAGGAATATAATTCAGATTCAGTATGGTAAGATATTGTAATTTTTTAGATGACAAGTCGATGCTTTTTTCTCTCTCTTGATCTTTTGCATGCGTCGTTTTGCCCTTTCCAGGCTGGAGTTTCACATGAATTATTCCAAGTGTTTTGGTATCCATTAATTTTCTGCAGGAACTTCCACGTATGGAATGATGTCTGGATGGCTAGACCAGATCTTCCAACTGGGTTTGGTGGTTGGCAGGCCATAGATGCAACTCCACAAGAGACAAGTGACGGTGAGTTTGTATTTTGTCAAAAGGTACTGTTCTTTTTATACTCCTAATCCCTCTCGACCAGCGATCTCAACTTTAAATATTTTTACTCCAACATACCTGTACTCTAAATATATATTGTATAGTTGTATTTTATAAACTTGTACTTTGAATACTCTTTGTAATAACGATAGATTCTATATTCAACATTTATTTGAAATGTTCATTTATGATTTGTTTTGTTTCATGCACTGTTTGTATCTGTAATGGTAGGTGTATTCTGTGCCGGACCAGCCTCACTAGAGGCGTTGAAGAACGGACTGGTGAATCTCCCTTATGATGGTGCCTTTATATTTGCTGAGGTAAATGCTGACCGTGTTCATTGGATACATGCTCCCGATGGTCAGACATCTAAACAACTAGTGAAAAACCAGTAAGTCTTTAGTCGTATCAAATTATTAACTTCATATATACTACTTATCTAGAAAAAGGGCATACAATAATTTTCAAGATTTTTACTTTTTTGTTTTGTCAACATTTTACGTAATCAAGTATACATGCATAGATTCTCAAGAAATTTTTACTACCATAATAAATGAAAATCTTCATAATATGGCTTGGGGCAGCAAAATATGATGTATCGTCAAAAATACAGTGTATGCACTGTGCAGTCAAATAAAATTATCAATTTACTTGTTAAAGGGTTGGAAAATCCATCAGTACCAAGCTGCCTATTGGTCAACGGTTGTCAGGAGCAATTGGCGGTGGAGATAGACAAGATATCACCAACCAATATAAATATCCAGAAAGTAAGCCAGATTATCTAATTTATGACTTGTACGTATAATACTTTAAGGGTAAAATTTAAAGCTTGAGGAGGCTCTGTAATGCTTGAGAAATGACATCGATTGTCGCAGTCAGGTATGCTATGAAATCTAGGTCCAATGGTTGTGTATGCACAACCTTTGACCATTTACCCTGAGTCTATTTTGGCCTCGTCTATGGTCCGATCCTGACCAAATAGCTCATAAATCACATATAGTTGGTTATTTGGCGTGCCATGATTTCTAGTGCTTGCCATATATAGTCATTTATGATAAATATATTTTTAGAGTCTCACCAAGAAAGAACCGCAGTATGGCGAGCTGCACAAGCTTCTTCACTACCTGTCGATGTGTACGATATTAAAGATCAGGTAACTCCATAAATTCCCTATTCACTTGAAAGTATATCGCTGCTACATATACCTTTTTGTATAGTTAAGTTGCGCCATCAATAAAACCACCATCTGATTGTATGATCCGCTGGTTAAGTGTTTGATATTTTTCAATTAATTGGTTGAAATGACTATGGGCGCAACCCCCATGATTTTTGAATAAGGAATGGTTTGACGGAATAAACAAAATAAATATATACAATTGTTCAGTGATTCAGTGTAACTAAATTGTGTTCTATTTCCATAATTGCTGTATTTTAGGACGTAAGTACTTATAGCAGTAGATTACAATATTATCTGATTTCAGCTTAGAGTTTTACACTGTTTTGTTCGCTTTTGACCACCGCTTTTCTTGTTGGCCACTTTCTGCTAAATTCTGCACCAAATATCTGTTTGTCGACACCCCTTTGTATTTCAAATTTGCTTCACGTGCTTTGTACAAATACACCATTCTAGGTTTCTCAAATTGAATATCGGTTAACCTTGCTTTTACCATTCCAATGTTTAGATTCTGTTTCTTCTTGGCTTGGAACTCAAACAGGATACGTTCATTAAAATCAAGTCACCAATACAAATAGTCACCGCAGTCATTGTCAATCAATGCAAATTGTACGCTTAATTGTACGCTTTCATATCTTAACTACTATTGAAGTCCATTATGACTTCATTTCAGTAAGGGACATTTAGATCTTGCCTGCATATACATTTAAAACATCCATTGTTCCTTTTCAGAGTGCAATTTAATAGGTTTTGAAACTAAGGGTGCAATGTTGTAGTGTTTTATTGTTTATATGCTTGGTATACTAACACAGCTAGAAATGTAGCTTTTGCTATATTCATAGCATTTTCGAATTAGTAGTTTCTTATATTAATTCTAAACAAAGACAAATGAGCAAGAAAATATCGCAACAGATTTCAGACAAGCATATGTTGGATTTTGTCTGTTTTCTGAGGATTGAAACAAGTGCATATGTTAGTCCAATGCATTACCTACAGGAAAGGCACTCATAGAGATGATAAAATGGTTTCGACTTTGAGACAGGGAAGGTGCAAACAACCAACCTACATGTTTTTTTCTGAAATTTTGTTCTGATTTGAACCCTTTCCTTTTGACCACCGCCTTTTCAATTTTTGTTGCACCAATGTGTTGCGTTTTGAGACATGGTTAACCCCTTTAAAGGAATAAGTAATTCCTTTTATATAAAGTGGAAAACAATATTTTACGTATTATGATCCCACAGGGAAAACTCATGCGATCCATTGCTTTCAGGTTAATTTTGGTCACCGATAATGGATATCTGTAAAGAAATAACTAACGTGGTTAACATTGTCTCAAAATGCAACATATTGGTTGGCGGGTTGTTTGGATCTTCCCTGTCTCAAAATTCAAATTATTTTATCATCTCATGGAGGTGATGCATGGATATATGGCATGCACCTGTTTAAATCCTCAGACAATAGCCAAAATCCAACATATGACTGTCCAAATCTGTTGTGATACTTTCCGTCCTCCTTTGAAATGTCATTTCATGTATGTGCTTTGATAAACAATGTCATTTGGTAGCACTTGGAATCCAAAACATAAATGTCACAATCCTCGACATTATCATTATAAAGCACACAGAAACAATCACAATAATGTATGTATCAACAAATCATCTTTAAAATAATCAATCAAGGTAGATCCACATGATAAGAACATTTTATATACGAATTATATATAGAATGTAAAGGTAACATTTTTATCGTTAAACATTGATCTTTTTAGGCCTAGTATTGTAGAACACATACTGGCAAAATCAACATAAATGAATCAAATAATAATGACAATAAAAATTGTTGTTTTAATAAAATTGTGGAACTACTTTAAGTAACAAAGCAATCAACCAATTTACCATGAAATCAATCATACAATGCTAAATGGCAGCATGGTGGATGTAATGATACCCCTAAATAGGAACAAAATAGCTGACATTATTTCGGGTTTGCAGGATGTCTTCATTGATATGATAGAGAAGGACGATGTGCTTGTCGGGCAGCCGTTTGATGTGGTTCTCAAGATTAAGAACAAGAGCGCGGCGGAACGCACGGTGAAGGCAACACTCACTGCTAGGGTTGTTCACTACACTGGTGTTCCAGCTGAAATCGTTAAATCAGAATCATTGAATATCAAACTAGAGGCAGCTGCTGGTATGTATTTTCATTTTTTTTATTTCAGAGTTATAAACACGTTATTTTATGTAAAAGCCTTGTAGTGAACTATCTCATTTCATACAGAAGCCTTAAAGTAATGTAAATAATGATTTGTTGTAGCAATTTCGTTTATCACACGATGTCAATGTCATTGTCAGCTCGAAACGTGTTTAAATTCTTGTTAAAGAGCAAAAACACCCAATCTATGCGATGCATATATTCTGCATAGTAGTCTTTACACTTTAAAATGGCTTTATTCTAATTCTAACAGTTTGCCGCCAGGGAGCCTAATTAGTACAATTAAATGATAATTTAATTACCTTATATTTCTTGATTCAAGGGTGGGTTGTGGGTTGTTTTCAGTGTCATACCTCTTTGAAGTTCAGTGGAATAATGAAGTTCCAGTTACCTCGTGACCTTGACATCAGTCATGAGATCTTTGTCCAGGGGATGGATTCCTACTTCATTTGTTCTATACTTTCATATAATGTACTACTCCCCTCAACAAACTGTTTATAATTTCATAAATCCAATTATAGCATAATTATTATATACTACTTTTTATAATGTTTTATCTTATCAGCTTCGATTATTCATTTGGAAATCAAGCTTATTATTAGTCAGTGAATGAGCACAGGATATAAGGTAGCTTCAAATGCTGAGTAATTTCATTGGAAACGTGAAAACTATATGTCAACAAAAGATGATGCAATTTTTTACAGAGGGAAAAGTAGAGATGAAGGTAGACCCATCAGACTACCTCGGAAAACTCGTAGACATGTGCATGATTCGTATGAATCTGATGGCAAGCATCATCGAGACCAAGCAAGTTCATTGTGAGTCTGACGACTTCCGGTTGATTAAGCCGGATATTGACATCAAGGCCCCGGATGCAGTTAATGTTGCAGAGGAATTTAGTGTCGAGGCCAAGTTCATCAATCCTCTTCCAACACCATTGACCAACTGCGAGTTTACTGTTGAAGGACCCGGTCTCCAGAAACCCGTTAAAGTCAAAATTGCGTAAGTATAAAAAAGTGTATCAGTCAATGATGAATTAAATGGTTTTTCAAATACAAAAGTTTTATTTTGTGATTATGGGTTCATTTCCCTGCGGGTTTCCCTGTTCATTCCACCGGACTTTTCGATATTCCTTTTTCTTTTAGGCCTTCCTTAAATTATCTTGGGTATTGCGGATGCATTGCATAATACAATTGTACGTGTTTAAGTAACATGTATATGTTTCGTAAAAAACGCCCACGATAATATAGCCCAGAAATGTGTAATTGACAAGGACGATATACTATTACATACCATATCATTGGTATTTTTCCAGATCGGTCCCATCAGGCGCAGAAGCTAAACTGGAAGCCCAGAAATACACACCTAGACGGCCTGGAGACCGGAAGCTTATTGTATCATTTCACTCTACCGAACTTTCTGACATGTCCAATGATGTTGATATTATTGTGAAATAAAAGATGGCGTGATGGGTTAATAACAAATGGTTGACATTAGAGCATTTCAGCCACAGTCAGCACTATCAATGGTATACTTTACCTTTAGTAATAGAAGAGAGAAGTTCAAAAGCTGTTTGTCACGATATTTACCGATCCACCCACTCTCTCCAATACGCATGCGCAGCCCGATGTAAAAAATAAGGCAGTGACTGGAGAGCCTAAAATTTTAGGCTCTTTAGCATTTTGGTAACCCATTTGGCTAAAGAGCCTTAAATTTTAAGGTTCTTTGGCATTTCGGCTAGAAAGCCATAAATAGGGTCTTTAGCATTTTGATTGCCAATTTTGCTAGAGAGCCAGCCTTAAAGGAATTCTAAGTGACGGAAATGACAAAATATTTTTTGATCGATAAACTCACCGATTATTAAACCGGAAGTGTCTTCTCTGAGGTCCGCGAAGAAAACGAAGAAGGAAACTTACAACGATTTTATTCATTTCACTTTTGCAGTGGATTTGATTTTAAATGCATCTAAATGATCCTTGAATGCTTACTTTGACTTCCTATAAGAACTGTTTTGACTTCCCCACTTCATAAAAAGAACATTATCACTTTTTACTCGACTCGTAAATTTACTTCCGGTCTACCGAAAAAAAAGTTCTTAGAACCTTTTCAATCCTCAGTCTAAATTTGGCTTTTTAAAGGTTCAGTAACCTTCGTGGTGCAGCAACTTGGAGCAGTCATATACTTGTTCAATTTTACTAATCAGTAAAGATTTTGATGTTTAGAATAGGCCCTTGGGAGAATGGTGTTGAGGTCACATTTAGTGATGCCCAATTGGAGGCTAGCCTAAAAAAACGTTGATACAAATGAAGGACTTTTGAAGGGGAAGTTTTTGCAAAAAATTGAAAAAATATTTTGTGCCTCTTGTCATTTGAAAATCCTAAAAATCGGGCTGATGTCCCTACATTCTCGATAAACTGCATTATGATGTGCTGTATCCAGAATTCAACAAGATCATTTTCTTCATTCCAAAGTCTCCTTCATACTTTTTGCCACCTTCAAATGGGATTCCCCGTATGCTGTAAGCTTGTGAATATAGTAAAGCCAATACAAGTGATTAATTTCATTAAACATGGATGGTTGAGCGTTGGAGCGAGCCCATGAATTTTTAAAAAATTGTGTACATAATATCCGGACCTCAGAGAACAAACTTCATAATGAAAAAAATTGTACCAACATGGAATCGAACCTGCGCCGTGGGAGTATTAGGCAAACGCCATAACCACAAAACTAGAGTGTGTTTTCTTTTTGTAAAATCTATATTTTAATAATATAACATATGTAAATAATATAATTATACAAAGACCCAGTTACATTGTTTAATTTCTGTACAGTTTTTCATTTTCAAAATATGCATGTATACTTCCAGTTTTGTCTCTATTGAAAATTTGTATTTCCCTCCTGGTTATTAAAACTTCTTTATAATTCTTATACTTATTTATTCCTATAATTTGTTCAAAAGTGATATTATCAAAAAAATTCCATATATCCCTTATTTTTGTACACTCATAAAAATTATGTTTAACATTGTCAATTACATTACAATTTTAAAAAGAAATATCTCTAATTCTAAAACCATTTAAAATCTCATTACATGGATATACGTTGTGTAATGTTTTCCAATGAATAATTAAGAGTTTGGTATCTACTTTGCACTTAAATGCTCTAATCCAAGTTGCACATGAAATATCCTTACCATTATACTGTAGAAACAATTTTCTTTTATCTGTACATATAATCCAAAATCTGATGCTTCATAACATATTATCTCTATACCATTTAAATATACTAGAGTGGCTTGTACATACATTACCTTTAAGGCTCTTTGGCCGAAGTGCTAAAGAACCTTAAAATGTAGGTTCTCCAGTCACTGCCTTATTTTTAACATCGCTGCACATGCGTATTGGAGGGAGTGGAGGGATCGAGTGTGAGTTTGGACCAACTTTTGCAAGTTTGACCAGGAAATCACCTTTCATTTGGTATGTTAGTAACCTTTTTGATCGTATTGGTATGTAAGAATCATATATATGTCGAAATATAAGCATAAATGTCACAGTTTGAAGGATAAATGTCAGAATATTTACCGGAAGTGTTTATATTTCCAAAGAGCTTTCGAACTTTTCTCTTCTATTACTAAAGGTAGATTGATGGTGATGACTTTGATTTCAGCAAATTGCTTTAGTAGTATTTCATTTTGGATAATCATAATTATGTACTATTTTAATTATACTAGTATTCCTATATATTTTGCAAGTAACTACGTCTAAGATGCAATTTGGCAACATTACGTTTTTATAAGTATTTTATGGTTGTATATACGAAGGTGTTCATCATATTCATTGAGTACACTCCCTCAAAAATTGTGTGAAAACAGGACATCTCGTCACAATCAAACAAAATCTTTGCTATACGTTCCGAGTTTTGTTGGAATCGAGGTAACCATTAACAAAAAAGGCCTCAAAACGATATATGTTATAGGAAGTTCAAGTTGACATACTTTTGGAGGGAGTGTCATGTCATATCTTCACTACTCATTTTGTTCAATTTCTGTATGATCACATTTGTCTTTTATTTTGGAATGTAGTATATTTGGTATCTATATTTTACTGTCTTTCATATTATAACCTCGGTGAAATTAGCTAAAATAATATTTTTGGCTTGGCCTGCATTTAATATTTGATACAAAAAAGGATTTGTAATAAAACAATGCCAATCTGATCTACTTGCATTGTATTGTACATGTATTAAGCCACCATGTCTAAATTGATACTCTGCATTTTCATTGGAGCAACAATCTCATGCTTAAATAATAAAAACCGATTTTTATAAAAAATAAGTAAGATTGTGTATAACATTCATAATATGTCATTCGCGTTAATGAACTATTAAAATGTGGATATCAACACTGTTTACACATTTGTTTGTTTTGTTTGTTGCGTTGTATTGAATTGTATTGGTCGAAACATAGGTTTGGCCACAATATCATTGACCAGATCCTTGTGACAATACTGTCTGATTTTAACAATGTGATACGTACATGTATGTTTAACCCAAGCTGCTCTTGACTACAAATTCAAGTATTCAACATGTATCCAACTTTTCTTGACTTGACCTTGACCAAATTACAAATATTCCGAGTTCATTTATTTTGTAGATAACTATGTCCATATTGTTTTTTACATCTTGTGAAGATTTGAATGTCCTCTTTTGAATATTCATAATTTGATTTGGGTGTTATTTCTATATTTTTCACAAAGAGCTTATTAGCCCAGGATACAGTTCTCCAAACCGACACCTGTAACACGAGTAACCATAGTAACAATATTTGTTTTAGCAAAGTTGAGAAGAGTCAATGTTTGGCATTTTAATTTGAGAGTATTTTATGAACAACTCCTATGAAAATTTGAATGAAAAGGGCACAAAATCCTTAGTTTGAGAGCGATTTTCTCAGAACTTATTGATCGTCCTGGTAATATATATGTACCAATATTTATATGTTTTGAATAACTTGATCTTCAAACACGCTTATAAATAAATATAACGTCTAAAAATAACCTAAGCCTTTGTAATGGGTTTATTGTGTTTTACCTTTCCCGACCGATGGTTAATCAGTACTTAGTATTATGTCGTAACATGTTTTAACAGAACTAATCGGATTGAATAAATAAAATGTCAACTTGAACAAAACTACAAATACTTGCTTTTGAAAGTAAGGTGTCGGAATACTCTTATACTATTTGGTAGTCTAGAACAATCGGGTTTCCACATGACATTAGTGTTAATAGTGTCAGCCTTATGCTACATAGAAAAAATTCCAAAAGTGAGATCAACACAAAACTTCTTTGAAATTGAGGAAATCTTTTCAAGATTCCGAGACAGTAATTGATAATTACAGTTCGGTTTACATTTCTTCGTCTTCACCGGTACTCACCTAGTTATGCTGACGATCGAACGTGCAGAATACTACAGGTCATCTTTGGGAAATCTCCCCCCCCCTGTTGCCAATGTGACAATATTCATGAAGATCGTCACCATAACGAAAGCGAGGAACTAAATATGTGAATTGCGTCTCCGTTAATATACCAAACATAGAACCGCCTGCAAATTCTCAAACCAGACAATCTTCCATAACTTTGAGATAAATTATTGTCCACAACTTGACTTATAATTGATTAAAATAGTGGACATATTAGCGTCAGTTTATGTAAATCAAGATGACAAAAAACTTGGTTTTTGCAAGTTTCGAAAAACCTGTTTTGAAACGAAAATGACGTCATTTATATTATGGACACCGGTTGACAGACATTATGATAAATTAAATATATAATATGACATGTTTTCCTCAAGAAAATCAATATTTATTTTTGAAATACGAGTGTCCCATTTTTTGGACCACCCTGTATATGTTAGAATTTGCCCTTAACAAAAGTTTGCTCAATGTATGCTAGCCCTTGATTTGGATTTCATTGAACAATTAAACAAATGTTATATTGAAATGTATAATTTTGTCTCCAGTAAAAGGCTTCTAAGCCATTCACCTGAGAATATTCTCCACAAATTCAGCAGATCGAATACACAGCACCGTATAAGTACGACGTATAACTATATAACCTTTAACTATATAGTGTTATACCACAAATAAAATTGATTGAAAGTCATAAGAAAAGTCAGGTTTAATCCAAATACTTTGGTCTGGCCATCTTCCAATCCACTTCCTGCTAAGAATTGGCCTTAAATCCTTTAAAATTGTATTGAACCGTACACAGTACAGAATAACTATTGGTGAAAAAACAAAAACAAGTTTTCTGTCTGGTGACATTTGGTCAGTTACATAATGGTGTCTAGTTGGAAGTAAACATGTACCTGTTGGTATATAAATCATTGAGAAAATCGAGGTACTTCTAAAAGAAAACATTTTTGAAAAAATCGCAAGCATTTTTTAAACATGTTTTCTGGAAAGAATAACCTTAATCCATAGCTTAATTGTCATTTAAAATAGCAGTTTTGACCTTTATGCAATAAATATAGAATAAAAGAATTTTATACATTTATTGGGAATATTTGTATAGTCAGTCTTCGTTTCAAATATACTCATGTTATGGCTTGAGATTCATGCCATGCGCGGTTGGCAGTTGGTCAATAGATTTCATATTATATTTTGTAACATACACACCTCATCCAAGCTTAGAGTAGATTAAGTTTTGAGCCGTAAATAACAATTAGTATTTAAACTATTAGTTTCACTCTCTCATAAGCTGAATGCCGCTGGGATAAATGTTTTGTTTTCAGTGTGAACGTTTTATTCTAATTAGCGTGAGACGTAATTAAATTATAAAACTAAAAACTAAACTAGTAATTGTTGTTTAAACATCAAGCTTCTCATCTTATTCAAGGGCGTTACAATACCCGGGAATTTATCGGTTCGTCCAGTACTTGTTTGTGATAGCGCCCTCTGTAGGTCACTGTGCTTATAGCCTACAGTAATACGGGGTAGGATATCGGGAATTCGGTCAGTTTCTATCCGTCGATTTCGCTATGAATTGAAGCAAGTGTGACCACTTTATCCACTTAAACAATTTGATAATTGATTAAATCTTTAAACAAAATCGATAAACACGTTATACACTTCCTATCTCCTTAGAAATTAGCATGTATTTATGGATTGGGTTTTCGAACAAGGCTCGACCCACCCCAATAGGGAAATCCTTATGCTAATTAGTATGACGTCATATTTTCCTGGGGAATCCTAGATTTCAAAGCCTCAGTCTGTTATTGTGTCAAATGTAAACGCTCTTGGGACGCTCTTTTGCAGACAGAAAATTGACAGATTAGCTTTTAACTTTCAGCTTTGATATTTAAATATTCTGTATTTCTACCGGACTTCTTGCTGAATATCATATAATGTTATAACTTGATTTGGATCATTGCCTGATTGATCATTCTGAAATTTTGATTGTGATTCATGATTGATTGGCAAGAAAAATAATTCCTATTGTTTTCCAGCGAAGTCAAAATGTTACAGCATGAGTTATAATGTCGAGTTTGCATCATGCTAAATTCTGCTAGTGATTAGAAGTCCATGCACAAGCATACACATAAGAGACAAACACACCCAGGCTCCAGGCCGTGGATGGAAATATAAAACTATTTAAGGCACAAACTGGTATTAATAGACCGATATGTAGTGTCTGCCATGTATTGAAGGTAAACCAATCTGTATTATTAATGTTTCTTCTATCAATACATGGGTTGTGCAATAGAAAAGCAATGGCACAATCAAAAATGTGCATATCAATCGTGAATATCTCTCGGTTCAAAGCTTATTTCCAACAGAATCGTGTCAAAATATGTGTCTGAGTAACAGTTATACATTATAAGATCGCAAACTCTTACCAATTATCAGCCGAATGGCTCATTTTCAACGAAATGTCCTTAAGACAACAGCCCTGGGTCGCGCCTGAGACCAAAAACTACTTCAAATAGCCCTCCCCTAATTATATTGGATAATCACATTTATGCGTGCGCGCGCAGCTCATCCAATGAACGAAACGCCACTTCCCGCTGAAATCACCGGGTATTGATCTTTCCCTTGTCTTATTTGCTTAAAAAAACTTTAGCTTTTCAATTTTTTTCACCAACAGATTTTATTTCCGTTTAATATGAAGTAGAGACCATACACAAATGACCCAAATGCCCGTGGCTTTGTATGTGTCCCTTAATGAAGTAGCATTTACAATTTACTTAACATGCTCCTATATAATATATCGTATATACTATGTATAATAAAATGTAATAAACGCATCTGGATTTGAATCGGAGTGTAAGGGTCATGGGAAACAAAAGTGAGAACATGAGTAAGGGGAAGAAGACGTCAACACCACAACCATGACTGGATTCTGTACCTGATCTGATGCTATGGGAGAAGCTTTAGAGAGAAAGAGATTTTTTGGTACTAAGTACAGTGTTACTGTTGAAGAACAAATGGAGGAGAGCAATAGAAATGATAACAAACAATTGTAATGCAACCGTACAAGTATCTTATACATTTTTGGTAATTGTACTTATTGTAGAAAAAGATCCACCATTTTGTTCCCGAGTAAGTTATGAATGAACAAAACAGATAGTATACAAACTTCTGTTTTTTCTATCTGGGTCCTAACCAAGGAAGGTTTAATTCAAGTGATTGCTTTAATTTCTCTATTCCATCTAAAAATGTTCAGTTTTCATTTGGCACTTAACAACAAATGAGGGATCTTATGGGCTTCGCCGTTACAGTTTGGAGAGTCAACAGCTGTTTGTTATGGACAAAAACTTAAATTAGCCTTAGATCGTTTTAAAACAATACTGTACATGTCCCATCTAAAGATGGTAAGTCGACATTCAGTTTATTGCCCAACATGCAGTTTTACACGTCCGTTGCCGAGCCAAAATTGGTTGCAATAGGCAGTCTGCAAGCAGCTGAGGTTTGACCCATTGAAGTACATGTAGATTACCTGCTGGTGCGTTTGTCCATTCGTTTGAAAATGATTACCAGGCTCAGCAATACGGGTCTAGTTTTGGCCCATATCCCAGGGCCCCTATGCACGATATGACAGCCTTGTTATGAATTGGCTTGTATACAACTCACAACTGATCACTGGGCATGCGCATTGATGTTATTGGACAAGTACATAACTTAAGGAAAGGCATACTTGTGTAAGTTTCGACAATTTGTCTGGACCGACTGACTGCAAATTTCCACCAACAACAATGGCTTGGTAAGCATTAAAACGTATTTCTTATTATTTGTATAAATCGTTATGAATGTTTAATTGAAAACTGGCAAAACCAAAGATGCTCCGATAGATTAAATTTTGAGATAATTGCAAAGTGCTCACTGAATTCCCCTAATTTTGTTAAGTCTGATTCAATCTACACGAAATAAGTAATTGAAAAGTGTGTAATGTTTTCACGAAATAAGTAATTGAAAAGTGTGTAATGTTTTCACAAAAGCAAGCAAATTAAAAAATTCTTTAGTATTCAAGAGATTTATTTTAAATATTTGTATTTATCTATCTATTTATTATAATTGTCTAATATCAACTAATAGGGCCTGCACTAGATACCTATGAGAGGGTGATACGTGCAGAATTAATTGAAAATATGTTACAATGTGTTCTTCTCAAAAAAGCAAGAATCACACTTTGTAGAAAACATGCCAATTCAAGGTTAAACTAAATAAACTATGTAATACATGACTGCACAAAGATAAGTAAGCAATCATAAAGGCAATATATGCATTACAATACAATGTGAAAAAATAATGCTACAACGGTTTATACATGTTAGTATCCCGGACAGGTCGAATGATGCAGTCGTGTTTTACTCCATATTTGCAATGGAATAACCATTATTTCCTAATTAAACAGTCTTCACCACAAACCACACAACATAATATCACATATATTATAGGATTAAATTCGAGCCAGCAGCCCGCGTTTATTGGAATAGCATTAAGTACATCTGATACAAAGAATGAGTGAAAAAAAGAAAAAATGTAGCCAGGCTGCGATGCATCCAGGTACCTATGACGGCCACGATGCCAATGTCATAGCGGCCACGATGCCGATGGCATTAATGCCAGAAACCTCTTAGGTTCAAATATACCCAACATCCGTCCTCGGCTCCCAACCTCGCTGCTGATTTACGATGTTTAATTGCCTTCAAGGCATCAATAAGGCATCGTGTGCCTAATTAAAACATCTAAATCCAACAGCCCATCCATATCTAATGATCAACTGTCATTAAAATCATTGTGGCTACACGTTTGTTAACACGTCCAAGATCTCAAATTAATTCACAAATTTCGGAATAAACCAATTCTAAATTGTGACTATCTGTCAACTTGCAATATAAAAAACTTGTATAAGGACCATACATGTATATAGTGCCTTCTAGCACTATGCAAAATCTGTGAGTAACATGCCTCACTATCTAATACAGTAATCACGCACTGTCATTAATACATAACAATAATCTAAATCACTGTCTACAGACTTGCACTGTAACCATAACATTGCCTTTTGGCAAAACACGTAACTCAGAAAGTTAATGAAACTTTCTTCCTTAATAAACTGTCGAAATATGCGACATTGTTGGTCACAAAATAAAAAAATTCCGTGATTATCACAAGAATACACGACCGGACTACAAAAATCATACGATCTTCTAAAACTATTGTAATGAACAATATAATATCTGGAAAGCACCATGCTTTGCAAACCTTAATACAAACTTATCTCGTATTGCAACAAAAGCAAAAGAACAATTCTTCGAAACGTTGTAAATCTAAATACTATCTGTTTAATATAAAATGCAAATAGTTGACAAGCACTTCTCTTAATGTGTTTGTCACACTGATATAATACAACTACTGTAAATGTTGTAAAGAAACACAACTATCAACTAAATTACCAAAATTGATGCCCTTCTGGAAATAGATATTACATATCTAAAAATATGAAGGACTTTCGGATATAATCAATATCTTTAAAAGCAAAACTTTGTGCCTTCCTTGAAACAATATGACAGAAACGCACTTAAATACATATTTATTCACTTAGATTCAATGCGCTGCCAGTAAAAAGCCATGCCTTGAGTTTCAGATTTATATGCACATTACATAATTGCTTCTTAGAAACCTAATATCTAAATGTTTTAATTAACTTTAATTAACATCCTATGCTATGCAATGCTTTGTAATAATTGCAGAAAAATATACTTCCCAAAATAGTAATTATTGGGAACAGGTTACATCAACGTCAGAACACGTATACTTCATTCAAAAACGTTGATTTGGTCAATAGCACTAAAGAAAGTGTTCGTTGACTTCAATATGAAAAACTTTAGTTTATCGACCTGACACCGTTAAAACCCAGATCAAAATCTTTGTGACTTTCGAAAGGGAAAAAGGTATGCCTCCTCGAACAATAAAACTAAATTTTCGAATCGGTTGTATGACAACTTACAACATTGACTAAAACTGTGTATAAACGCTTCGGTTGCTACTCGCAGAATAACACGATCCCATCGTGCATCCACTCACATAACCTACTCATGATCACATCATGTTATCCAATCAGTTGAAATCGCGTTCGATTTCACTAACGCTAAGACGTGATATCAACCGGAAATAAAATAATTCAACTCTAATTTCAAACGTGTTGAATTTTAATTATTTCCTAATTAAACAGTCTTCACCACAAACCACACAACATAATATCACATATATTATAGGATTAAATTCGAGCCAGCAGCTACGCCAGAACCTCCTAAAAAACGGGCAAACTAGTGTCCAAAGCTCGAAATGTCTCTTCCTTGAGACTTCCAACAAAGGTAGTCTTCCTTGAATCAGTCCAAGGCATCTTCTCTGTATCACACGTACATGTATCTATCTTATATGGATCTCAAATCAACAAAGTAAAGTCTTCTATTAATCAGCTCAAAGCATCTAACCTATATCACGCTTGTATCTATCTTGTATGGACAAAATGTGTTCCAGAGTTCACTAAGGCTTGTGTCCATATCCTACTATGGGTTGTATTTCTTGTATCCGTCTTTTATGGATCTCAATCCAACCAAGTAGTCTTCTTGAATCAGTCCAAAGCATCTTATTTATATCACACTTGTATCTATCTTATAAGGACAACTTGTGTTCCAGTGTTCATTTAGGCGTGTGTCCATACCCTACTATGGGTTGTATTTCCTGAAATTACACAGAACTAGCATTAAAAACATGCAAATATCGCATTGTCGCTCCAAGCGACTAACCCCTTTTGAGGTTGCTAAATTGTACCTGCGTTCGACGCATTATATGAATCCGTCAACCCACGATACAAATAGACTTTTACGTCAGAGTTCGAACTGTACTGCATCAGATCAACTGCTCGACGTAATGGCTACAATGCCAAACATGATAACAATTTTTACGTCGGAGTTCCAACTGTACTACAACAGAACAACTATTCGACGCACTGGAAATAATGCCAAACATGACAACAATATTTACGTCGGAGTTCCAACTGTACTTCAACAGAACAACTATTCGACGTTCTGGTAATTATGCCAAACATGATAACAATTTTTATGTCGGAGTGCCAACTGTGCTTTAACAGAACAACTACTCAACGTAATGGCCATAATGCCAAACATGTTCAATATAGAATGCAATTAGCTGACGAACACTTCTCCAATGTGTTCGTCACACTAATATCATAAATGTTGTTAGGAACACAACTATCATCTTAAAACCATATTAACTACTATTCGACGTCATGGCTATAATGTCAAGCATGACAACAATTTTTATTCAACAGAACAACTACTCAACGTAATGGCTATAATGCCAAACATAATAACAATCCTCAGTCAGAGTTCAAATATGTAATTTTACCAAGTGTATTTCTTGTCGCTGCAGGTAAAACATAACGATCACGTAGTCTATCTGAATTGACAACTTCAAAAATCAATTCACAACAATTCGTTTGATTCTTTAAAATCTAAAAATGTAATATTTCAATTTCGCTCTGCATTCTAAATACATCCGTGAATATGCCAGATTAAAATAGTTTCTTGGCATTTCATCTTTCTTCTTAAAGACTTTATCATCTATCAAATAACTTGCTCAATTTTAACCAAAATTATATGCAGTAATAAATTTTAAACATCAATGTTTGCAAAAACATGGATCATCCAGGAAACATACCTGGATCAAAATACCCAATGTGTAAACTTAAACCATTGTCTAACTTACATCGATTTCTCTATGCTATATACAGTAAACTCTAGAAATGTACAATTATCATTTGGACCAGGAATGACACACTAAGCTCTCGCTTATTTCAAAATGTCTCAAGTATGGAGCAACTCCGCAAGTTTTTATTTAATCTTCGATAAACTATTCAACATGCAATAATCATGCATTTATCTAACAATGTAACCAAAGTAAATGTCCAAATCTGTCTACTCCCAGTCTCGAATCAAGACAAATCAACTATCTTCTAAAAAATAGTCCAGGTTTTAAACCTAAATGATTATATTCGGGAAATCAATTCACCTGCCTAATCAGACTATTTAAGTATTTATTCAAAATCTTCTAATCGCTTTAGAAAAGTATCGATCGATTTTCAAACAAATCGAAAACAAGAGTGTTAAAGACGAAAAGTAAGCAAATACAACCATTATTGTAAAGTATGCGTACCAAGCATATGTCTGAATCCAACTACCCATGTATCGATTCACAACATACCATCAAAGATAACCACCCTATTCATCAATGTTATAAACAGAGATACTAAACCAAACTGTTGGTATAAACACCTTATTAGTAAACTTAAAATGCTGATATTATACAATGCACTTTTATAGACCAGCATTTCACTTCTATTTCACATAACCAGTATTCAAAGATATCGCTCCCCGATATTTAAAGCAAAAAAGCTATTTATGAACATGCAAATTAAAAATATTCTAGTAACCTTTTTGCATCTATCAACATTAACTGTTTGAGCCTGAATACGACTACTCTTAGAACTCATTTGATCAAGCAGTTTATTTAACTGAATCAGTCAAATAAAATATTCTCCATAATTAAGCAACTTATCTTTGAAGAAGAAAAGTTCTGAATATAGAAACTTATACAGTATGCAATTTATTCTTGTACGGATATTCGGTATCTAAAACATATGCCTGAACCCTACCCTCCTGGCAACGATTCACGACATTTCCCAACCAAAAAGACTGTTATGATTACTCTACAGAGCCCTTTAATGGCATTTTGATCATTTCTAAATATGAATGAATGTTTTGAGTAACAAACGAAGATGTTTGCGATAACATGTAGCTCACAAAAATTCACTATGAATCTGTCGAATCCAAGTATTCTCTTGATAATAAAAGATATGAAAATACAAGTGTACAATTTCACTTGCAGGATATGAAGTATCCAAGGTGTATGTCTGAATCCAACCTTCCCAGTAACGATTCACGACAATTAATGTCTGTTCTAAATACAAATACACGTTATTAGCTAATAACGTAAATGGTATACCAATATGGCTCACCAATCGACGACATTTAACAATTCAATGACTCTTCAGTAACACAACTCGTTAGTTGTTTGTCATGACTTACAACATTAAAATGCTTACGTTGCACAACTTTATACAAAAACTATAATTGTAATATCTATCTCTGTATATGCGCAACACAGAGTTCATTTGAAAATCGTTTGCTTTAAAATATCATTTTAAAAATCTTTGCCCAACGCTGTTTTTTGCAAAACTGAGTGAGCATATTTGCACCTTGCTAATACCATGTCTGAAACAACTTAACAATCCTAAAACCGTAACTCCGGTTTAAAAACTGCCACATCTAAATAGGATGTTTGTTTGTATGGATCCCATCTCCCTAAAAACACCTAAAATGCAGTTTATACAAATCATCGGAAAACGTACCAGTTTGCGTCGTTACCTAAATATCTGAAAATTTCAAAAACATGAACATTTTGACAGTCAAGTTACAAATATCCAACGTATGTAGCAGTGTGGCGTCTTGCCCGTGACTGAACAATAGATCTTGCAATCTTTAGTGCTCCTGCACCTATGACCAATCTAAATATGTTTAGCAAAACCCAGTATCCTTACATTAAAAAAGGATATTTGATATACTAAGTAAATCTGTTAACAACTACTTATCTTATTCATTGCGATAGCTGAACCCTCCTTGTTTAGCGTTACTCACAATCCAAACATTGGCCCTCAGCCTTACTTCTTCTCATGCACCGGCGCACCTCTCGGGTAGCGTCGCGTCTTTCGATGTTACTGGAACTCAAACGATCACATGGTCACTTTTCGGGTTAACATGTATAAAATCGTTTAAATCGTTTATGCAGAGCATTTTCATAAAAGGTCCAACAATCTTTTCTATCTTTTCTAAACCTTACGAAATTGCAAAAGATTACTTGTTTCAATATAAACTACTTCTTACCCTTGCCAAATCGTTGGCGTTTTCTTACTGCATCAGCACGAAAGATGAGTATCAATCCAATGTAGAAACACATTGACGGTATTGCAGTACATGCATCCTCTGTTCATCGTATATTTAGGTATCAATATAAGCATATAACAAGGGCTAAATGATAAAGACCGAATGCACCAAAAATAGACGCATCATGCTAAAACTGTGTATAAACGCTTCGGTTGCTACTCGCAGAATAACACGATCCCATCGTGCATCCACTCACATAACCTACTCATGATCACATCATGTTATCCAATCAGTTGAAATCGCGTTCGATTTCACTAACGCTAAGACGTTATATCAACCGGAAATAAAATAATTCAACTCTAATTTCAAACGTGTTGAATTTTAATTCTTATTGAAATTTTCAAGATTTATTTTAGAGACAATTTCCAACATAGAAAATAAATATTTTATCAAAATTTCCAGTTTTATGATTTTGACAGGCTTTTTCAAAAATGCTTCACTGTCAATAAAATACAGGTTTTTGCTTGAACAATTGAACTTATAACGTCATTTCAAATATTGCCTGGCTATTGAATTGTCTTTTCTTTGTTGCCATATTAATGATTATGCCTGATTATTGTTATTCACTTTCGTCATATTCAGTGTTATTACAGTGCATTAGACCAATAAAAAACTTGTTGCTCTGGGTCTCATTTTGTGAAGCGTTCCCTATATTAAGCCCAGATAGAGGAGGTTAATCTTATTGTCAACGGACATAAGTTCAACCAGATCGAACTGTTTAATACTGTCCAAAAAACATTACGAATCTCCAACTTCAAGTATTTTCGGAATTAGATCCTTCAGAGATGTTAAAAAAACTGGGTCACATTCTATCATGAAATTGTGGTACAATTGCATGGTACAATTTACATGCCACAGGGTTGCATGCTGAGTGATGGGGGTGGAAAAACCCGGTGGTGAAAAAGGTGCGTTATCAGAGGAAACTTGACCCAGAGTGACAAGTTTTTCATCGGCCTAATGCACTGTAATAATATCACTGAATATGAAAAAAATTGACAGTGTCGTCTTCTTTTTGAAAAAGAGCTTATTAAAATCATAAAATTAGAAACATAGAGTAAAAACACGACTGCATCATCCAACCTGTCCGGGGTACTTTGCTGTGGATGGTATTCCAATTCAAGTAATGTCAAAACATGAACATTTACAATACATCACTTCATTAAGTATTTTTAAGGAATCGGAGTTTAAGATATTTGCCAAAGCATATTGTAAACACGTCATACAACTTGAAGATTTAAAATAATAGTTTTAGTCATTGACCTTTAGTAGAGTCCAACAAACAGAGTTTGATCGGATTTTGATTATATAATATTATAGTATATACCATAAACGTAGAACAAGTCAGTATTAAGTTCAAACAAATTAATTCATATTTTCTTCATAGAGTTTTACAATCAAAATGATATGTTTTTATATCTTTAAGCAATCATATTCAATTTGTCAATGTTTACAAAAATGTAAACCCGAAACTCTATAAATATATTGATTTTACCTTTTAAATCAACCAGAAGTATAAACCAAAGCATGTGATCAATTTCATTTTTCTAGGGCTAGCTAGGCCGTCGAGTGAACAATTGATAGATAATTAAAACATTAAAATCTATTATTATCCCCCCTGATCATGGTCCACATGACTAATGCATTAAGTTAAAACCTCATATGTTGTCTAGGTATTGTAGAAGGACATGGCCACTGCACGCCAGACTAGGTTTACACACACCTCCAAAAGTTTGGCAACTCTAACTCCAAAGCTTTTTATTATGTTTATTAGTTCTTATTTGCAAAATCTGTAAATAAGAAAACAACTTTTAGGGCTTACACCTCAGTTTTAATCATTTTCAACAATTTTACAATAGGTGGGAAAAGGATGACTTTAAACTTTAAGATAGATATCCCAATGTATATAAATCATGGGAAATAATAGGTTTGCTGAAAGTCAAATAACAGAATATCCATCCGAGTTGATTCTCGGAAAAACAAGTGACGTATTCTACTGCATGAATTTGCTGACTATGGATCAAAAAAGTGCTCGACAACTCATTTTATTGAATAGAATATTTTACTGAACAAATATCCTCAGGTCTGATTTGCCCCGGACCATTCATATCATATAGGGTTGAATTGGATCGACGATTTTCTGAAATTCATCAATTTATCTTATCGATATTCGACCTATTTTTAAAAGAGAAAAATAATGTACTTTTTCAGAATTATTTTCATTGCAGGTTATAGAAGGCATTATATCAGGCCAATAGTGTCCTCAATATTATGAATGGCAGGAATTTTGTATTGTGTTTATGCAAATTAGTACAATTTAATTATGGCGTCATTGTGATTGTTTAAATATCCGTTTCCATGAGATTCATGCGTGTAATAGATACTTTTTACTGTTCTAGGCGATCGACGGCTACCTCCACATCGGACCCCGCAAAAGAACCTGGGGTCGAAGTCGCCTACTATAACCCCAAGAAAAAATCTGAAGGTAATAAGTTGACTTAATTGTTCATAGTTTTGACCACATTAACCAATCAGTGGTTTTCGAATTCGCATCCTTGGTAACCTAGACAGGATCAAGTTATTGCGAATACACCTTCAAACCAGTCCATATCGCAAGGTCTCTGTTAAACAAATGCATTTACTGTTTTCTCACCGTTTGCGATTTGTCGGTAGTGAGAAGTATATCTTATATAAAAAGTGCCTTTTTGATAAACAAATAAGTATTAGCACACCATTTGTCTTAATACACAGCAAATTGTTATATCAAAATACAAATGCTAATTAATTACAATTTTCCATCACCTAATTCTTTACTTGTCGCTAACATTCAATCCTAACATTACAGCGGCGTTATTAAAAGCTGCTCAAGAACGACCATATAAAAGACGCAGAAAAAATGATTCTTCGTCACTTTCAGCTTCCGATGCTTCCGATGCTGAAGAAGAGCAAATCTTGAAAGTGGTAAACGTCGAGTTCAATATTCCTTTAAACACCAAGAAGCATCGTACTGACAAATTCGAAATCACGGAAAGCGACCGAGAAGAGCCACAATTGGTTTTGAGAAGAGGACAGCCATTTGATATCACAGTCGAATTCAATCGACCTTTCGTAGATGAAACAGATGATATTAAGCTGTACTTTCTCTTAGGTAAGCAAAATTCTACGGAGTGCTTATATTCCAAAATAATAGACTCGATGTGAGTAGAAATAATCTCGATTCAGATCATTAACTATTCAAAATTCAGTCAAAATGATATCATATTTGAAATCAACATCCAAAATTTCATCTAGAAATGTGATTTCAAAAATTGTTATCAACTTTATCCCTATAGTCTCCTGGCCTTGTTATACAATGGCAAAAAGTTAAATATATATTTTCCATTGGACAGATAATAATTATATTTCACTGGGCATTTTTTCATTTGTATAACTCTCGGATTCATTAGGATGGCATGTAAATTGGTCAACTAGAACTGATGAATATTCAAAAGCAAGGAGGATTGGCATCCAGAATGAAAATTCAAATTCTGAAGTGAGAAAGATTGAGAAATGGCGACTGTTTAAATTTTGAATTTTGCACACGGCAATGATGCCCAAATATTGCAGAATATTGGAATTGCATTCTGGGATCCAATCCTCCTAGTTCAAAAAAGGAAGTTTCTCATATATCTGCCATGTTATTCGACCCGAATTGGCCACCTGATGGTGAAACTGGTAACAACCTACTGGTATCCGGATTATTTGGGTTTGATAACGGACGATGTCCCACGATGTACATGTCTGACAACATAATGTCACAGTGTTTATAAAGAACAAAGATATATTGTTCTACTTATGTACTAGGCAAAAGGCCAAATAGAAGGAGTGGAACCTATGTTTCCTTGAAGCTCCACGATGAGGACCTACCGAAACAATGGGGGGCGAAACCGATAAAAAACAATGGGAATTATCTGACTGTCACAGTATACACGCCCCCGGATATGATCGTTGGGAAATGGAACTTTCAATTTAGCTCGATGAAAAGAGAAGGCTTATTGAAGAAGTATATGTACAATGGAGATGACGATGTGTATATACTTTTCAACCCATGGTGTCCAGGTAAGATATACATGATATCCTTTTCTGTTCAAAGAATTTGTACAACATGAATTTGAAAACAAAACATTCCTGAAAAATATTTCTCAAATTTTCATGAGCTTCACATTTCGTCGCATGAGAATAACTTTGTACTAACTGCCATTTTCAAAAAATTGAGATAGACATGGAATTTTACTATTTGAAACACAGGCTTTCATTTCAGATACATGCCCCATCTCAATTCCCTCTCATTAAAGGGGACCACCACCATGGTCACATGATCAGTCGTGTGGAGGTAAGCTCCCAGTTGAAATAAAAGCACTGTCCTCCTTTGGTTTATGTGAAAAGTAGCTAATACCCTCATGTATTGGTCAGTTTGTGTGTCACACGACTAATCCACACCATATGCTTCATTCAACATATTTTATGCTATTAAGCTGCATATAAAAACACTACTGGATGAACTAAGGTTAGGGTAATTAAATTAGTTGTTTCTCATTCTTGCCCGCGTGTGGCACAATCCCCCCTCCACCTTTTTTCTGCCATTTCTGAGAAAAAACACCGTACCTCGCGCGCATCCATGGCGTGTGAAACACTTTCAGGATAATTGACAATATCGTGGGACTGATATATGATCAAATATACCAGTAAAGTAGGCTCACTTCAACATATAAATTCAACATAAACTCAGTTTATTTCCTTCAAAATTAGTTATTTGTTTTTACAGTTATTTTAAAGAAAAAAATCATCCCGTCCCTCATCAGCATTTTAGATAGACAAAAAAGGTAATATAAAAACCGTCATTCCAGTATCAATTTTGAAAATTATAAGAAAGAGAAACAACTAATTTAATTACCCTGGCCTAACATAAAATACAAAGCCACTAGCTAGCTCATACAGTATACTTACCCCTTGCAAATTGTAATTTATTGAATTCACAGTAAACCCATCAATTTAAAAAAAACAAAGAATATTGTTCTCATGGATCTATTATTCATGTTAAACTAACTATGAAAATATAAATATGAAATAATATGTTAGCTTGAAGTCATATATAAGATGAAAATATATGTTCATGCATTTGCATTTTTCCAAAGGGAATATTCCCATGTAAGTAAATACAGGTGCAATATATAATTTATATGTATATCTATGTCATCTGTCTATACATGCGCATATACAGTAGTGATACATTTGAACAAGATGGTTCTGGAAAGAAATGAGCGTGGCAGATTTGCTAAAAAGCCACATACACCACAAAAGCAAGACCAATTTGAAAGTAAGTTCATTATTCTCAAGGGTACACTTCAAGTGAAAGCTACATTGCTACAGGGTGGCCTATCATTCTGAGACAAATGTATTATCCAACGATTGTGATTTTCGAAGCTAAAATATGATATCTTGAGCAGATGGAAATACATTCCCATGAGATATGTATATATAGTCAAAAGTGATAACTATTATTGAGTGTAATGAAACGTATCCTTCGCTAACTGCTTTTGTTTGAGATAATAATCATGAAATATTTTTAAATTAATTTTTATGTGTGTCATTGATCCTAATCCACCCTGTAGTCTGGTGTTTGTAGAGTATTGAACCTCGTATAACTTATTCTCACAAATATCAAACCTCATTTACTAATTAATTTTTTGTGTGAATATGAAGAGTCCAAGCATTGCTTTTTTATGTTTACTGTATAGCTATATTTAGCCTTGATATCCATGATTTTTTAAAACAAAATCTCACCGTTAGATTTCGAGCTATTCATGTTTACTCATTTTTCTAATTGGAAAACAATGCAAATCTCATTTTTTCAAAGGAAAAAAATTGAAATTCTAAGACGGTGAAAAATCATTAAAAAATACACAGATTCAGAATACGGCAAGCATTTTCCCTTATTCCTCTCCGTTAAGAAGTTTTGTAAGGTGTTGGATCCCTTTAAGCTAGAATTCAGTGTGAAATTGTACCATCTCCAGACAAACAGCTTATTTCTAATTTCAAATTGTCATATCTGATACCAACTGTTTCAACCAATCAACTCTCTAAGAATTGGTCATGTGACTTGCAAAACTTGGAGTTATAACAATCTTATATTAAAACGAAGTATGCCAATATGCATGTTATTGTATCTAGAATGAAATAATGTTTTGTAACACAATACCATGCCAGTTTGCATGCCTGGCCTTTCATGTTTTAGTTTTAGAACTATTACAAGTAAATCAAAAAAAATAAAATGATACAGTATGTGTAATCCCATGCATATTCAAATTATATGCCCTCAATTACTCTTTGTATTATGGATGCTCATTGGATTTTTCATGGCCACAAGATATGAAATAGAATTACTAATTTCCTCGAAAACCTAAATCCTTGCTACCAAGGAAGATGAAAAGTACAAATGACCAGTTAATTAGATCATGTGAGCAGTCAAAGGTACCCTTTATCTTCCCTGCTACCAGGTCTTATAGGGGTTTGAATGGCCAAATGCAATAGAAATGCATATACGAAGCTGTCATCATTAAATGTTGAAAATGAAAGACTACTTATTTGTTTCTTCAAATAGATACCATAATAATAGGTTATATACTAGATATAGTAATCAAAACAAATAGTAACTGTCATATTTTGCACTACATTGCTCAAAGGCAATCACTGTCTGTATACTCACACTACTATACCCCCATACTGTATCCTGTATTCCTTTAAAAGAAGTACAGGCTACAGGGAAGTTGCAAATGGAGGACGTTTGTTTATTTCCATAGTTCTGAATGTATACTCGATTTTACACATATTCTAAATGTTCTACTATACTTTGTATAGATCCATCGAGCAGTTTGCAACGTATTATTACCAGAAAAGCCCAATTGACAAAGATAGAGAATACCCGCCCCATTTGCAACTTAACCGTACCCTGTATCATTTTTAAATGTGGTCACGTGGTAGGGTAGTGTGATACTATTGAAATCTCTTTCAAAATGATGTTTTATAGTTTGTGGAAAAAAGCTAAATCTATTTAAACTAGCTTTAACTTTTACTGACCATACACTACGAGGGTTGTCCCAGAAGTAATGCACTATATGCTCTAACGTTATCAATAATTGATATTTTTCCATGAAATTTTCAGTAAATGTTCCTTAGAGACATTTTGATTATTCTAAGAAATTTCATGTTGACTGATAAAACTATATAGATGTTATAATAAAATCAAGTTGGTGAGTTTGGGTAGGGCGGGGCAGGTTATACAGTCACGCCAAAAGGAATAAAAAATTTAAAATATGAAATATTTAATCAACAAATACCATTTTGTGTAGCTATAAGAAGTTTGCTCAGAAATACATTTTAAGATACTAAATTACCATGAGCACATCCAAGATTTAATGGATGTATATTGCACAGTTTCCCATTTCACATTTTCTTAAAATATTGCCCTTTGCATGTTATGTACTTTTGATGCCTGTCAGGTCAAACACTCTTGGCAATTTCTTCCACTGTGACTTGTGGAGATTTTGCCTCCCATGTTTGGAGTTGTCATCCAGGGTCAAATCGTCTATTTTAAATCTCTTCTGCCACCCCATATTTGTAGTTCTATCTGGTATATACTCCTTACATACTTTCTTCATGATAGTATTGTTTTGCGTGGCTGTGAGTCCAAGTGAGGTATGAAATTAGGCCACCAAACGCAAGGCCTTCTGGTATCAGGTGAGAATTGCAGCCATTTTTACAATTTCTTGACTGTGACTGTATTTGAATTCTTGACTATTGAAATGTGGTATTATGATATCACAGTGCTAAATGTCATTATTTGTACTTGGTTAACATCATGCTGAATAAATTTAACAATTTCCAAATTATTTTGATCATTTAAAGGAAAGAAATATTAATAAAATAACACTTTAAATCTTTTCATAATTAGAAAATTTGGTACCTGCCCCGCCCACCCCTACCCCCATGTTGTTATAGCAACCATATTAAGACTTAATATTAATGCTTGATGCTGAAACTTCAGGGTATAATAGATAAAACTTCAATTGTTATATACACAACATTTCAGCTGAATTGAAGAATATTAAAGAAAGTTAGAGCATATAGTGCATTACTTCTGGGACAACCCTCGTATATCAATAAGGAGTTATCTTTATGTTAGTATAGTCCCTTAAAACACTTATTTTATTTTCTCTTCATCTATGATTTACTTTGCGCTTTTCACTGAACATCTGGGATCTTTTTAGTTATTTTATTACTAGACTAAGTATGTTTTTCAGATTTGTCTTTTCTTTTGCATTTTTGGGATCATTGTTTTTAGATCATCTACATTTTATTTTGGAAAAGTAACAAAGTGGTTCAATTTCTTTACAAAGAGCCACTCTTAGTCTCCACTTCTACAATTGCTTCAATTCCCAATTGTACTCCACAGAGTAGCAAACAACAGAAAATGAATGGATAATGATAGCTGCATCCCAATGAACAAAATGTGATTACATGTACCTAAATCGAGGTTTCATCACTTTCATTAATCTAAAATGAATTAGAAATTATTTTTCTATTTTCAAATTTCTTCCATGTGCATGTAATAAAAATTGGTTATATCTTAGGCCCTAAGGGTCTGAAACCTGCTGGTCAAAATGGAATTACGGACCAGTTGCAATGTTATTCTCCTATACCCAGTGAAAAAATCAACTGGTCTGTATCAAAAATAACCTGATAATGACCAGCGGACCGGCCCTTAGGGGCTACATTGTAATGTGCTGGGAGGTTTAGGCTACATGGTTTATACCGAGGGAAATATGTGGGGGACCGTATTGGCATCATTGGTTTCAATGCATTGTACTTCTGCCTTAGTTTCAAAGGCAATAAATTATTTTTGAAGGGTGTCCTGAGATTCCAAAATTAAGAAATAATTGTACTTATTTGAGAAATTGATTTTAAAGTTTTATAAATTGAATTTTCTTTATTTTATTGAATAATATTCTTTGGTTTTTGAAGATTTTTTTACAAAGCAAAACATTATTTTTCATTCTGAACTACAATAACATGCATATTGGCATACTTTGTTTTAATATAAGATTGTTATAACTCCAAGTTTTGCAAGTCACATGACCAATTCTTAGAGAGTTAATTGGTTGAAACAGTTGATATCAGATATGACAATTTGAAATTAGAAATAAGCTGTTATTCCGGTGGGAAATTGTATCAACTCCATTTCCATAGTTTTAAAAAAGGATCTTGTAAATTGTTTCAAGGTATGATATTTCATATAAGATATCTCTAGGGTGAGACCAGGTGACATACAAAAAGTCAAGTTTCACATAGCAATACTAAGTAAGATACAGACCTCTAAACTTTCAAACCTTGATTTCTCAGTTCCGTAAAAATGTGAGATAGTACAAAGTTATTCTCATGCGACGATTTTTCTGTATGCTGTTTGATAGTCTTATATCTATTATGTTGCAAATATTCTTTTGTATTAACTTAAACTTGATCAAGGAACCTGGTAAAATACATCCTGCTGATAGCTTTTATATTGCAAGGGTATAGTACTATGATTTTACCGCTAAAACTAACATTTATCTTATTTCTGAACAATTGATTGTTGTAGATGATCAAGTATTCTTGAATGATCCTGCACTACTTGAGGAATACATTTTGAATGAGAGTGGAAAAATATACTCGGGAACGTGGAACAATATCCGCCCCAAGCCGTGGAATTTTGGCCAGGTAACGAAGAATTTCTTGAATTTTTGGGTTCTCTTAATTACCTTTCTTTGAATTTTAAAGTTTGTCTTTCTTTTTTCAAAGTTCACCTCTTTGTTCTTTTTTCAAAGTTCACCTTTTTGTTCTTTTTTCAAAGTTCACCTCTTTGTTCTTTTTCAAAGTTCCCCTCTTTGTTCTTTTTCAAAGTTCACCTCTTTGTTTTTTTCAAAGTTCACCTCTTTGTTCTTTTTCAAAGTTCACCTCTTTGTTCTTTTTCAAAGTTCACCTCTTTGTTTTTTCAAAGTTCACCTCTTTGTTTTTTCAAAGTTCACCTCTTTGTTTTTTCAAAGTTCACCTCTATGTTTTTTTTCAAAGTTTAACTCTTTGTTCTTTTTCAAAGTTCACCTCTTTGTTTTTTTTCAAAGTTCACCTCTTTGTTCTTTTTCAAAGTTCACCTCTTTGTTTTTTTTCAAAGTTTAACTTTTTGTTTTTTTTCAAAGTCTACTTTCATGGACTGTTGGCAACAGCTTCCTTAGGGGCAATCATTTTATTTTACGTAATTATTATATTTTATTTATTTATTTTTATCATATTATTATATTTTATACGTATTATAACAACCCTGCACGTTGGAACGGTTAATCTGTTGTATTATATAGTGAACATTCAAATAGTACGAAGAGGCCAAAGCTTGCTTTTTCTGAATCTTTTTTAATTGGAATTTAAATTGCACAACACCTTGCACATTTCCGTTTATTTGTAGTTTGAGGACTTCATGCTCGATTGCTGTTTCTATCTACTTGAGCAGTCTGGAATGGTTGAAAAGCGAATGAATAACCCAGTCCTTGTGGCTAGAAAAATATCTTCGATTGTAAGTAACATCAAAATTGCATGTACATATCAAGCTCAAATGATTCATCTCAAAGAGTACCCAACAAATGTTTAAAATGCTTTGTCTGTCCCTCATCATTCTAGACTGAATGTTCTATATAGTTTGAATACTAGATAATACATATTAACTATTTTTGAGTATTAACTATCAATATTATTTTTCAATGTGTATTTTAATGACTCCAGTATGAAAGTTATGCCCCTTGGTGTTATGATCTCGGATTGTGATATTGGTACCTGAATGGTGGGGAGGGGATTAAACTATTTTCTTTCACGTTGGATTGTGATCTTGAATAATTGGGGTTTAATTTCCTTTGTGTACTGTACTCTGAGATTCTTGTTATTGTTGTGTTCTGTGCCCATTTATGGTATTTTCTCGTTGGTACTTAATTGCGTTTACATATCTCTTAGCATACGTAAATAACCGTTGATGTTTTGCATATTTGTCAATTTTTCTGTTATCCATCCAAGGTAAATGCACAAGATAACAATGGGGTTTTGGTGGGTAATTGGAGCGGAGATTACTCTGGCGGGACCTCACCATTAGCCTGGGGTGGCTCAGTTAAAATCTTGGAAGAATATTGGCGAACAAAGAAATCTGTTAGCTTTGGACAGTGTTGGGTGTTCTCTGGTGTTGTCACTTCAAGTAAGTATCTCTTGGGTTTTAAGACATAAAAGGAACTAAAAGGTGGTCTTTAAGCGATGTAAATAGGGATCTAAAAAATTATGAGCTTAAATACATAGCAAAGGTCAAAAGGCCAGACGAAGGTAACTATATAAAACAAAATAATTGGACTGAAACTGATGTGACAAGATATTTTTTCGATTGGATGCATACGGCTGGAACAAAGATATACAATTAGTCTTGTTCGATTGGGTTTTCTCCAAAATAATTGAATAACAATATTTTAAATCAACCTATTTTCATGAAGTTTGCAAGTTGCAAGTTTTAACCATAGCCATAAAGTGTATTGATAATATCCACATCTACAGGTACACAAGCTAACCATTATTAATCGAGAATTCCTTTGATATTATGTAGTTTGCAGATGTCTCGGAATTCCTGTAAGAAGTGTGACGAATTTTGCCTCAGCTCACGACACTGATGCGAGCCTTACTATAGATAACTACTGGAGTTGGGATAACCAGCCGCTGGAAGAATATAATAACGACTCCATCTGGTGCGAATGAACTACCGTGTAGTTCTACTCATAATTAATGCGAACCAAATATTTCGAAAAGGCCTTAGTTAAGCTTTAAGAAGCCTGTTTAAGAACCCCTATATGGTGACATACATGATGATATCCCGATGCCAAGTTATTGATCAATGGTACGTGTATTTCCCAATATAAGTCAATGCACCTTTGCTGAAATTCTTATTTTCTCAGAAGAACTCAAGTTGATAGAGTCTCAACAAGTAGATTCATATTGGGTAGTATTGCTAGAATCCATTTTCAAAAGTAAATATAGGGGTTCTTAAACAGGACATTGGGGTTACTTTTTAGAACTTTTTGTTGGTACTAAATTGTGCATTCATGTACCTATCTTTCCTATGTTCCTATTCTTACGCAAATCAAAACTCAAAAACAAACATGTACTTATGGCTATTCAGAGATGAGTCCAGTAAGCTATTTCACAGCATCGATTTAATTTAAAATAAAATTGGATATCTTTATTCAACCTATCGACTTGATCTATAACCTGCACAAAATTTGGGCGAAAAAACAAATACACCACATGTGAACAAGTGACACGTGACAAGATTTGCACGTGATAGTATTGGCATAATTGAGACTCTAAGCAATGCATAGGAAATCATCTTCTCACATCTGGGGACCAAAAAGCCGCTAAAACGAGCGCCTCTGTACACAAAAGCAATGTCTCGAGTGAAAGGTATTTCTGTGAAGGTTTTAATGGAACAAGTTTGACGAAAAACGGTGCTCTGTGAGACTCACAATCATTGATTCTCCAAAGAAAGGGTATGTTTAAAATTCAAATTAACGTTTTTTGCGGGGCGTTTTGGTTTCGATACGCCCCGGTGAGTTAGTACCGCGTGATTCAATAGACATGGGTATAATGATTTCAGTTGACACTGAAGCGAAATTGCAAATCTCCCGTTCTAAACACAGCCCTGAAGGTAGCTGATCGGGTATTTGAAGTAGACTACATGTACGTTGGATTTACGTTTACGGTGTCGTTGTGAAAAATATCGCTTGCTTAAACTCTTGCTTAAACTCTAATGTTGATTAGTAGACACGGGTCAAACTCCATTTTGATCGATTTTGAATCATGGCTTCCAATCCTCCTTGGTATGAGTATATTAGAGGTATAATGTTCTTAAAATCTAATGAAAACGAGAATTAGCGAGATTTCAAAGCTATATAGAAACTCCTCTCATATGTCTGTTGATTGCACGTGTCATTTTTTAGGAACTTCCACGTCTGGAATGATGTGTGGATGGCCAGACCAGACCTCCCAGAAGGATGTAATGGTTGGCAAGCAATTGATGCAACGCCTCAGGAAACGAGCGAAGGTAAGGAGATTTTGTATCAATATAATTTCATAAACCATTATTGAGTCACATATTTAAAATTCCTTTGAGCTTTTCAACTACCAATGGCCAGTTTTAAGCCTAATTTTTATTTAAAAAGAAACGTGCATTATTTCATTTAAAATGCAGTTGCACTCCGTCCAAAATATTACAATTTCAACCAGTTCAAGTATAAGTATATTCACTAAACGACAGTTGATGAAGTTTGTTTGGTATTGGGCGTGGCCTGGAGCTATCAACAATGGTTCAATCTGTCCACTGTATCCAGGCATATTGCATAACAATCGGATGAGCCCAACTTGGTATACTCATGGCCTTTTGATTAATAAACTACCAATTTAAAGAGATATAACGATCAGCTAGCAACATCATTTTTATTAATTACAGGCTTATATTGCGCTGGTCCCTGTTCATTGAACGCCATTAAAGATGGTCTCGTAGACCTGCCTTACGACGCGCGGTTTATGTTTGCCGAGGTGAATGCAGATCGTGTTCACTGGATATATGGAAAGGATGGTCGATACCAAAAGCAGTTTCAGCAAAACACGTATGATATACAGGGTGGGCCAAAAAAAAGTTCACCCTTTTTCATTTTAATCTCATTTTTTTATTTTTGATGCAATCCCTTAAAAAATTGATATGTAGATAACTGAGACATTTCTAAACAAGGTTGATATATAACATTAGGTGTGTCTTTGGCTGTTTTGTTTTTAAAGTTAATGTTCAATATGTCCTCCTTGTTCCTGCACAACCAGTTTTAGTCTATGACGCCATTTATTTATTGCCGCGTTAATTGATTGTTGTGATAATTGTTCCCAACATAAAGTTATTCTTTGTTGGAGTTCTTGAACTGAATGGATGGGAACACTATGAACATGTTTTTCTAGTTCATCTGATAGGGGAGGCATGATATCCTGTGACAGTTACTGAAAAAGAATTGCAGTTCATTTTTAAATAGTAATTTTCATTAATCCCAGTTTGAACTCAACTCTTAAGGGGTGCCCAATGACTCTGAGCTTGGAATAAAATCACCAGTATTAGTATTCCCAACTCTGAGTACCCCTTTTCCCTGCACTATAAAGCATGAACAGAATTAAAATGGCATCTTGTACAAATTATATTGTGTAGAATTTAATAACTTATTCATTTGTAATTATATCATAAGTGTATTACATAAAACCATCAAATTATTATCAATATTGTGAACGTAAAAATGAGGAAAATTGGATAAAACCATGGATTTTCAGTAACTTGTTGACCAACTCATCTATGGTAGTATCGGGTGTTTATAAGAGTACTTAATTGTTTAAAGAGATGTTTATCATCAACTCTGACTATTAATTAACACTCTACTTTGTAATATTTTGCATTAACTGACATAAAAATTATATTTACCATGATAACTTCTTTTCAAATTTCCCTCCTTTTTTTGAAATCCGCCATTTTGTAAATGAAGTGAATTTCTGGTTTTTTTTTCATGACACACCATAAATATATTTTAGGTGTCATGACAACATTGTTGCATAAATTTCACTCAAATCCTAACAACATGTACAGAAATGTCTGAGCTATATACATATCAATTTTTAGAGGCATTGCATCAAAAATAAGAAAATTAGATTAAAATGAAAAAGGGTGAACTTTTTTTTGGCCCACCCTGTATATTACCTAATTAGTGGCACATTTAAACAAATTTCATACTGATAACTAATATTAAGGATTTAGGCAAATCGTTACAATTTCGTATTAACGATTATTACAAACATCGAAAAAAGTATTGTAATCTTGACCTTTTTAATAGTGAGTTAACATACGACTAGAGTAGTTATAATTGAAGAAATACCTCGTCCTCGTAATGCATTCACTACTGTATCATAAACAAATGACGCAGTATTATATATCAGCATCATTTTCATTGTACACTGTATATATGTATCTCCTTTTCATGAAGGGCAATAAAGATATACATGTACATACATACATACATTAACGAATTAAATCATCCGAGACTGCATTTTTCATATTTGTAAATTTCATTTGTACTGATGCTCTTTTAGGGCTAATCGTACATCCTACAATTACACTTTTCAATTACAATAAAAAAAGTAATAACGTAAAGAAAATACGACTACATGTTTTTGTATTGTATGGCTAGTTAGTTAGAATGGTTGTTGTTGTAGGATTGGAAGATGCATCAGCACGAAGGCACCGAGTAGTAAAGCTACAAGATGGTCTGATAGAGAAGATATCACACATGTATACAAGTACAGAGAAGGTCAGTTGGTTGTTGGTTGTATTCCAATCTTAACAGTGTGTAACCATTAAGATGAGTGCTATAAGTACCAGAATCTAAGTGCGTTACTAGACTATCGATGGAACATATAACACTTAACAATGACGATGGTGCTCTGTACCATACAAGAAAACACTACGCTCCCGTGTCATACATATCATTTGCCCCTTACCCAGAAAGCTGAACTTATAAAGCGATCCTTACATTTTATAAATACATAAACATCAACGTGAATATTCGATTTGGCGTTATACCTTACCTGTTCAAAAGTGTGTCACTACCTTGTAGGAACTCTGATGGAGAGGACAGCAGTTTGGCACGCTGCAAGCACCGACGAAAATACTAAAAACTTGTACAACCAGAAAGACAATGTGAGTGTCAAATATTAACATATAAGGGCTGTCGACGTAATTCCATTGTTTTAGATTCAAATGAATTCTGAGCTTATATCCAACGTCACTATAGTTCGTCTGATAGCTAATCTGTGATCATAGCTCAAGGAATATAAACACATGTACATTTCTGAAATGAATGTTATTTGAACAAAATAAAAACTATATACATTTCTCACAACGCATTGAATATAGGTTCTGGTTCATCAAAAAGTCCCAAAGGATTGGTATCGATATGGTGAACTGAATTCAACAATGTTTTTCTCTTAAACCAATTATTGAAAACATTCTGTAAAAACACAGTTCGTTTTATAATTTTGACTGATTGACAACAATTTAATGTGAAAACTATTTATATATTTTTTTTTATAACTGTTTTTGTTAACATTTTTTGTTTTTAGTGCAATTGTTTTTTGTTCCTTTCTACCAATTCTTGAGAATTAAATAAAATATCTTTCCGAAGCTTGTTACAGTATGTTAGAACAAAATAGCATATACAACATTTCCTTAGACCTCTCAATATTATTATAGTTATATAAAGGAAATTTTGGTTGATTTTAAAAAAGTATTCAAAAAATTAAAACAAAAAACCCCAAAATAGATAAAAAAAAAATATAAACCTTTTATTTCATTAACAAGATACTTTTTAAAAATCAACCAAACTTTCCTTTGATCAATTACAATATTGAGAGACCTGAACACGTTGTGTTTATGTCATTTTGTTTCAGTGAGGTTCGGATAGATGTTTCATTTCATTCCGAACATATGATACCAAGAACAAAAGAAGTGTCTGATGTGTTTTCTAATACAATTTAGAAAAAAGCATATACATTTATTTCAAATTATATTGTTACCATTCAAAAGATGACTATTTAATTGACGATGTGTAAAAATATCAGAATTTTTTTATGACTTGTTAAAGAGAAACGTGTGTTCAAAAAGTTCACCATATCGATACCCTTCCATTACGTCTTTTTATAATAACTGTAACTTTGTCAACCGGAAATCCTTTTTTGGATCACTTATCCTGTTTATTTTTAACGATTTAAAAAAACGTCATCAAATTTGCCATAAATTTGACCTTTTCTAATTAAACTTATGATTAAGGTCAAAATTATGATTCAAACATCGCCAGATCGACGGATTGATATTGTATCCAATAAAATTTCCCGGTTGCCAAATCTAATAGATGGCGGGATTGCGGATTTAACAATCTTGTCATGGAAGCATATACATGTACAGTGTACATGCCTCTTAATTACAAATAACAAATATTCAGTATTATATTATTTTAATTGAGTGATCATCTACAATGTATATATTTTGTATGTTCCGCACAGACTATTGATAATTCCATCATTTTTGTCGATTTATTCAATTTCAAAAGTAAATTGTATTGTTGGGATATACTATCCGCATAGTTGAACATTACAAAATTGATTCCCTTAAATCACCAAACCTATACCCCCTCAATCGTCTGTCCCCTGTATCATTTTCTACTATTTTGAAATTAACTATAAGCCCATAAAATATTTATTTAGGATGTGTTCATGGACATGATCGACTCTGACAATGTCTTGATTGGAGATCCCGTCAAAGTGACTTTTAAGATAAAGAATAATTCGGACAAAGTACGCAATGTAGACGTCATGGTTACGGCGAAGGTTGTAGCGTACACCGGCGTGCCGGGTACTCAGGTGAAACAGCTTAAAGACAGTGTGAGTCTTCAACCTGGACAAGGTGAGATAGAGATGTCAGCTGGATGTTTATGATCTGAAATATCAGGCTAATTAACTGTAGTTTTGGGTGACCATGTGTTAGAGCTAACATTTTATTCAAATATATTTTATGGTTCAAGACATCACTCGAGATACAGTATGTACATACGAAACAAACCTTTCCATTAAGAATATATTTCATGGTGCAAGACATCATTTTTGGTACAGTACATGTACATATCATATTGTCCATACGAGAGCTACTTTTCTATTTAGGAAACTCATTCTCCGAGTACCAAGTGATTCTTTTATGGTTGGTGTATCATATTTGTAGCATATTGTATTTTTTCTAATTTTAGAGAGTTACTTATATTTGAATATCAAACCAACCGATTACCTTGATAAACTGGTCGACATGGCCATGATGAGGATGCACGCACTGGCACGCGTTGTTGAGACAAACCAGGTATATTGTGAAGTCGACGATTTCCGATTAAAGAAGCCTGATATTATTATTACTGCCCCAGAGTCCGTAGTTGTCGGTGAAGAGTTCATTGTGCGAGCTGAATTCAAGAATCCCCTTCTGAAACCACTGACCAGAGGCGAGTTCACAGTTGAAGGACCTGGGCTGCAGAAACCATTAAAGATTATTTGCCGGTAAGTAAACATTATGGTAATAGTAACCATCGCAGCACGCGTAAAATATGAAACCACATTGAGATACGTTACGACGCACAACTGATACGTAATATATTTTTAAACATGTCGTTTTTAAATACATATATTGGCACGACGACGGTCATTCTGATACGCATAGCATCTTTCTGTTTCACCAGAAACATGGTCTGATTTTATGAGGCAATTCACTGATCTGAGCTGATCTGAGTTCTTTTTATTAATAAACTTTATTTACTTATAATTAATTAAAACATTTACAATTTTTTCATAATATACAATGGTAATAACAGGTATACAGAACTTGTAGGTTATACATTTTACTATTCCTTAATTTCCAAATTTCAAACTTGTGTTTAAACACTTGTCGGTTTCTATGGCATTTAATCTCAAAATATCCTTCATTGTTGTAAAATAAAATTTAGATTTTGAATAGTTACACATTTTTTGCAATTATGCAATTGACAAATAAGTGTTTATGAATTTCTACTTCAATATTTCATGTGTTACAAATTCCATTGGACTTCTGATTTTTGGAATTGTTTTCTGTCCACATTAAAACATTAAATATAAATTCTTTAACATTGTTACTATTGTCACATTTGAATAAAAATCTAAGAAATCTGTTTGAGCAAACTGCTCGGACAATACTCTTAAATGGGGAGAGTTAAAACTGTCCTTCCAGAGAAAACATGGAAATCCAATTATATAATTGGATTTCCATGGTTTTCTCTGGAAGGACAGGGAATGTGTTATGCCCCTTGCTCATTAAACAAAAGCATGCGCCAATTTGCAAAACCAACACTTTCACTTAATAATAATAATGTGTTTCAGTGAGTCCATTGCATCCGGAGAGGTTGTCAAGGTTTCGTCCGACAAGTTAACAGCTAAGAAACCTGGTGAAAGAGTATTGATCGTTACCTTCGATTCCCTGGAACTATCTGACTTGGCTGACGATGCTGATATCCTTGTCAAACCAGCATAGATCGGTGATCGAAATCAGATAATTGGATCCTGTCATTCTAATCACTTCTATGCTGAATTCGATTGGTTTGAAAGATGACGACATACACGCACTCTTATACGGACACTTTTCTTTAAAAGTTACTCAATTTGAAATTATTGAATGAAATCATTTGTATACAAATTACATGTACTTGGTATTTCTGGTTTCTTTATGGACATATTATGAACGTTATATATATACCACTCAGTTGAATACACGTTATACCGCGGTAGTTGGAAGTTGTACATTGTACAAAAAGTAATAAATATAAGGCTAGGAAAGATCCGTGTAGAATTTCATTTCTACATGGATACTGAGCATGCGATTGGTCAGAAGGCGGAGCGCTGGTAATTTTACGAATTTTACGAATTTTGCAGGGTTTATATTCGCAGTATTATCTTGCCATATAATAGCAAGATTGAGGTATGAAATATGTTCCTTTAGGGTGTTATCTCGGGCCCGTATGACTGCCAAATCTCAAAACCATTAAGATGTGTATAATTGAAAAACATCAATATTTTAGACGAAAAAGATTCCGCACTTGTAGTTTAAAAAAATAATATGAACGAAATTCTGTTCACTGTGCGTTACATTAATACTTTCTATTAATTACTTAATTGAGAGGTCAACTGTTTTCGTCAGTATTTCTAATGTCCATCGCTAGCCTTCGAGCCTAATCCTAATGTTGGGGTTACCAAGTTTTGTATGGAAATGAAAGAACGGACATCAGTTATGTACATCTACCGTTATCCCATTGGCGTTTACGGCTCTCAGTGGTTGATTATGGTAATTGTCTGGGAATATTCGTTTTCCTGCCCTGCTCCCGATCATCTCGATTCAGGTCAAAGACAGGCGCATTGGACACTTTCATGGTAGCACATTAACAATCATTAGGTTTTGTGAGTTGTAATTGCTTTTTGGACTTAAATTCTTGATTGTAATAAAATATAGCATTTAAGAAATCGACCAGTTTGTGTTATTTAGAATTGTTCATAATGACTTATTCAGAGTTCCATCATATTAATTTACTTGGCAGCCATGGTCCAACAGTATGCAGAGTCGGCCACAAAACGATCCATGTATTTAATTTTCTATACATATTTACGCGATGAATGCATGTCAATGATATTTTCACATAGCGAATGCACCAATCGACTATTCAATCAAAAAAATGTCATAATTTTAGCAGTAGTTGAATGGGTGAAGTTAGGCCAATAGAGGTGTGGTACTATGCAAAGTCCAGGTATGACGTTCGGTTTTAGATGGTGGACACTGAATATTCAGTGTCCTGGTGTCTAGCCTTTCCTATTCAGAAACTCCAGAAGATTAATTTGTCCAATTTTAGGAACAATTGCTAAGTTGATTCTTTCATCTCTCTACTAGACATATTTTCACAACATTGCCAAACAATATGAACGTTTTTGACCCACCCTGTACGTGTTCATCCGAACGTATCTATTTGACGCAATGGAATTACAAGTTTTTTGGCCCACTTTGTGTGTGTACATGGAACGTGTATAATTGATGCAATGGAATTAATTTATATAGCAACATTACTTGGAAATCAGAAATATCAAAATTAGAAATCATTTACCATTGCTTGGTCCTTTCTGGATTTTCTACTCCTTTGTATTGCCTTTTTCGAGTTTAATTCTAGCGTTATTTTTCGAGTGTTACTGCCGTTTGCCCAAAATAATGACGTAGTACACAAACTTTATAATTAAGCTACATAAGGGATGTTTAACACGCTTTGAGTGAGTAACGAAATCTCTAGGAAGTTCGACCAACTCTGATTAACTGGTGTTTGTAGATCACATATAACGATTAAGCTACGTTCACACCAATGGCGCTTTAAATCGGCGAGCAAAGCGCCGTCATTTTTGTCATTTTTGTTCATACCAACGGCGCTTTGATGGCGCTTTAAAGCGGCTTGTAAAGCGGCACCAAAGCGTAACAAAGCTTGATTAAAACGTCGGGGTCGTAATAGGTAGTAGAAAAGCTCGGAGCTAAGCGGGATATTCGGCAAGAGCGCAAAAATTAAAACTGTTCAAGCTACGTTCGCACCAACGGCGCTTTGATGGCGCTTTAAAGCGGCTTGTAAAGCGGCACCAATGCGTAACCAGTAGGTCGGCACATTGAAAAAAACCATTGTTGTTTACCAAACTTTATATCAAAGTGGTGTAGCGATATATGACTTCATCGCACTACTTGTTTCTGGTCCGTTGGCTACCATCTTTATGAGGTCCATTGAAATGGTAAACATTTAAACATTTGAAAATGAAAGTGACGGATAGAATTCTACTGATCTCTTCTTTCGAACTATCTCATTTTAATGTTAGACAAATGCACATGAATGGGAGTAAAATGCAATCAAACACGTGAGACTTTCACTCATTTTGTACCCTATATTCGTGCGAAATTAACATTGATTAAACACCATTTTTTTAAATGTCTGAATCGCTTAAAAGTTAATGTAAATACGATATTTTATAAGTACCAAATATCAATCAGTTCCGATAAAATGCCTTCATTTGTTACATTTTCTGCGAAAACGGTTGGGCATAATTTCGGTAGAAATGTGTATTTTACGACGTTATATGCATGGTTGAATCCAAAAAGTAGCATCATTCAGAAAATTATCAGGTGTGCGTAAAAGCATGTGGATATTTCATTTTGAGTAACTGAATTATCAAATCGACATATATATTGTCTTTGGAACATCACCTTTACACAGAATTATTTTCATAATGATTGCTCGTTTTGTTCCATGATGAAATGCAATTTCAGACCTGCAGCTGACTCATATCAAAAATTATTTAGCAATGAGTTCAGGCTCACTGATTTTTAAGATAGATGAAATGAACAAAAGGGGAAAGGGTTATGTGTGCGGTAAAGCATGTGGATATTAAACTTTCAATAAATGAATTACAATTTTGATGTTTATATGATCTGAAGAACATCACCTTTACACATAATTATTTTTATAATAATTGTTCGATTTCTTTCATGATAAACTGCAATTTTAGACCCGACACGTATTAAAGAAGTATCGGACAATGTATAAAGGCTCGCTGATTTTTAGGATAAATAAAATGAGCAAAAGGAGAAAAGGTCACGTGTGCGTAAAAGCGTGTCAGTATTTGGATTTGAAGAAATGAATTAAAGTTTTGACATTAATATTATTTGTGAAGCATCACCTTAACGCCTGCTTGGAAGCAGAAGGGGCTATATGCATTTTTTAAGAAAATGAGATTTTTACACCATCAGAAGCAGATACATCATATCTACCTTGTGTAGAAATATCTAAGTAGTTTGATGATTAATAAAAGAGTTATTTTGTTTTTTAAAAAGGCCTATGTGCTGATATGCTATTTCTCTATAAGCTATAAGGGGCTATGTGCATAATTACAATGCAAGAATGTGTTATCTGTCATATAACACCTTCTGGTTTTCTGTTTCTGGCTACTGCTACAAGAGGATCACTGAAGTAACCTGATGCCACTAGGTCAGTTTACAAGCCTATCTCACTGACTTCCATTCAGCTTATGTTACAACATCCAATGATATCACCTAACAAATAGCCTACAATGATTCTAATCTATCCATGTACATCTCCCCTTGTGAAGCACATGTTATTTGCTTGTCTGGTGTAAAATTAGATAAATAAGGTAAGTTTTACACTTTTATTTGATACAATATATAAACAATTATTTAACTTACAAAGATAATATCCTATTGCATCTCATTATACTCATTATTATAAAAAAGGGCATGACGTTTATTGTACCAATACCATAGGCATAGCCCCCACCCCCCCCAAATAAATTATATTTTGATTCTAATTTAAATTATAATTATTTTCCTGTTTATTTGAAGCATACAATATGTTACGTTTGTTTTTTAGTTGAGAAATGGATACGGTTGATATGGATATTTGGTCCGATGACGAAGCGTTTGCAAATATTGATCTAGAGCAATACAATTATGAGAATACGATCCCTGGTTGTTTGGAAAAAACAGGTCCAGATAAATTGGAACAGACATCTACTGATCATGTTGACAATGTCCAAGACCGTGTGAACCAGATAGCCCCTGATTGTGTGAACCAGATAGCCCCTGATTGTGTGAACCAGATAGCCCCTGATTGTGTGAACCAGATAGCTCCTGATCGTGTGAACCAGATAGCCCCTGATCGTGTGAACCAGATAAACCCTGATTGCGTGAACCAGATAGCCCCTGATTGTATGAACCAGATAGCCCCTGATCGTGTGAACCAGATAGCCCCTGATCGTGTGAACCAGATAAACCCTGATTGCGTGAACCAGATAGCCCATGATTGTGTAAACCAGATAGCCCCTAATCGTGTGAACCAGATAGCCCCCGATCGTGTGAACCAGATAGCCCCCGATCGTGTGAACCAGATAAACCCTGATTGTGTGAACCAGATAGCCCCTGATTATGTGAACCAGATAGCCCCTGATCGTGTGAACCAGATAGCCCCTGATCGTGTGAACCAGATAGCCCCCGATCGTGTGAACCAGATAAACCCTGATTGTGTGAACCAGATAGCCCCTGATTATGTGAACCAGATAGCCCCTGATCGTGTGATCCAGATAGCCCCTGATCGTGTGAACCAGATAGCCCCTGATCGTGTGAATCAGATAAACCCTGATTGCGTGAATCAGATAGCCCCTGATTGTGTGAATCAGATAGAACCTGATTGCCTGAACCAGATAGCCCCCGATTGGGTTAACCAGATAGACCCTGATTGTGTGAGCCAGATAGACCCTGATTGCCTGAACCAGATAGCCCCCGATTGCCTGAACCAGATAGCCCCCAATTGCCTGAACAAGATAGCCCCCGATTGTGTGAACCAGATATCCCAAGATTGTGTGAACCAGATAGCCCCTGATTGTGTGAAGAAGGCAGCTCCTGATCATGAATTAGATATAACCCCCAATGTCCTTGATACATTGATTAATCCACCCGGCTGGGATCAGAACATAAATCTACCAACCTTCGCAGGTAAACATTTGAATACATTTGAAACATTTGAATAAAATAGCCCTAGTAATTGCATAACATTTTATTAATTTTGAAATAGTTCTAATAAGCTTATTTTGTAATAATTTGTTATACCTATTTGGAATCTATATTGTGTAATTTGTGATTGAAAAATAACATCGATATCTTATTAATTCATATTATGGACAGTGTGTTTAAGATATTCCATTTTTAGGAAACCAAGAGATGAAACCTGGATGGTCTACAGAAGATGACACACCATTGATAAATCTAAAGCCAGTGCATCTCGACGGGCCTTCAGAATGGGACACAGAGGATGAAAGACCATTAGTCACCAATA